TTTCATTAGACCGGTTAACAATAGAACAAAACATACTGTACCGATAATAATCTCAATTCAAATCTTTGTCATTTTAGTCTCTTCAACCACCGTAACCAAGCACCAATTATATGCTAATCATGCTCTCAACTCCTATTCTATATATGATCCATGTATGGCAGATGGTACCGGTGCTTCATAGATTAAAGACATCAATTTAATCATTTTATCACTTAAAATGTGACAGGTTACCATTTATCACATCTCAAATAAAGAAGATATTTTGACATATTCTTTATTTGTGTTCGAATGTAACACAATGTACAAAAGAAGGGTGTGTCCAGCTTTGGAAAGGTTTCAAGTGTTAATCTGTAGGTTTACATTCGCGATGACAAAAAAGAAAGAAAACTTATGTGGTTTCATTTTTCATTTCACAAACCAAGCAAACGCAATTTTTAATAATATTATTTATCACAGATAATAGAAGTTGAAAGCTCCATCAGCGATCACTCCACAAAGTACACTATTCTTTGCCTTAGCAGATAACGAGTTTGGTTGAAGTTATTTATTTATGGTTATCCCGATATTAATTAACAGAGCGGGGGGAAATCACATGAAAGTGGAACATCTGGAATTTATCTGCTTGGCAGTATAAGCTCAAACTATGCTCAAAAACAGATGTACATTTATCAAGTCTCAATGAAAAATTCATTCTTATAGATAAGGGCGTTAACGCAATATTGACAGGAATACCTCCTTCGTAAAAAAAGAGTTACACTTAATGAAAATGAAATATTTTGTCCATTGCAATTTTTTTTAAAACTTTTATACTCATGATCAGCAAAAAAACTGGAGCGGGTGGGAGTAAGCTATAAAAAAGTTTCACTAGAAGCTATTGGAAGTGCGACTACATGCGAAACAATTTGGGATATCATATGCAGAAGTAGAGTATATATATATATATATATATATATATATATATATATATATATATATATATATAAAGAATTAAGGGAAATATGAAAATGTAACTGGCTCGAAACTGTTTATTAGGTTACGAAAAGAAATTGATTTTAGATTCCAATGTAATAGATATTTTAATCTAGATACATAAAGTTGAGTACCGTGTCGGACTCGTGTTGAAACTCGAAGCCAAATTTAATATCAAATTCAAAATTAAAGTACACCTTTGAAAAGGGAACAAGGGGTGATTTGTGAAGATTATTATTAGTTTTCTCACTGTTCTGCTTCATCTTGTGGTTTTGTGAATCATTGTTGGTTGGCTTCTATCGAGAGCTATATTAGAAGAGTTAAAACAAGTGGATTTCAATGCTTAAAGCTATAGGCATCACTTAATTAAAATAGTGAACATGGATTGGCGTGATTTTTGTATTGTGCAAATCACGAAAACTGTTGGGGCTGACGAGTATTTAACTATAATCGATTATTGTTGTTGCTGAATTAAAATTTGAAACAAAGATGAGAAAAACGAAACACCTTCTGAACCGAAAGATTAGGTTCTTTGATTGAGAAAAAGTGTCGTCGACCAATTGTGTAGGATAGAAAGCTTTGTGGCGTATGACCTTAATGGCACGGATATCCCGCACCTGTCGTAGGAAAGTATCTAATTCCGCCGGATTTTTAAAGCAGATAGGCGAAGCTGACGAGTAGTTCTTAAACAACATTTTTATCTTTATTATTTTCTTTGGGATATCGTAGAAGCGTTGATGTACAAACATAGCCAAACTAAATTTACTCACATATGCAGATTTATGATACTTCCGTTATCTGCTTAAACTTACATGAAATATTTAATGCATTTTTAAAATAATAATGTTCGGTCGCCATGGCTCATAACTCACTTGGCGTATCTAGGCCAAGACACGTAATATTCAGTAAATTCTGTATTCAGTATACAACAATATTCAGTTAATCATTCTTGTTACAACTGAAAATCAAACAATAGTGAGGAAATAAAACTGAAGTGTTTTGTTTTGATTAAATATTGTGGTCACATGTCTGAATTTCGGTCAGAGGTTGACGAAAGGCAAAACAAACATTTCAATTTTGGCGTAACAGAAGTGTAACTCTAAACAAATAGTACTTTAGTCACTAGGTATTTCTTGTTGAAAGTTAACACTCACAAATGATAACCAATTTATTCAATTCCGTTTGCGAGCTTGCAAAATTTGAAATATCGTTTTTACATGATACATATCCTGGACTTGTCCTAATTCATTGTTCATATTTGAGAATGTATGGACTATAGGCAATGTTTATAAATAATCAATTTATTTCGCCTTTCGCCTAGTCGCTCCCAGTTAGTAACGTAAACCTCTATGGCCTCAACAAAGCCTGATTACGTCGAGTTGGTCATTCTGTCAGAAGACAGAATAAACTTTACTCAATTTGTTGTTTTAGTATTTTGGCAAAGTTATCTATATTTCCTCAAAGCATAATAGTACCATACATGAGTAGTGATAACTCGTGAGTCTGTACAGATAGATAAAAGTTTGATTCTATTAAATCGGCACAAGCTGTAAACATGTTTTCTATTTGAAAAGCAAACGTAGTTACATAATGAAAGCGTGTCTTGGAATAAAGATTCAGATTGTGGACGGCAACGAGTTCAGTTAGACTCGAACGCATGCAGTATTGGCGTACTGGTGGGTCTTTACTTATAGTTGGATAATTTTCCTCGCTAAACTAAAACATTTTGAATATTTTTTGATCCCGCTCTGTGTTTAACCGGAAAAAGTAACGAAGTAAAAGTAAGAAAATGAGTTATGGAAAGAATGAATATAGCAACGGCGCTTCCTGTATAGATAGACTCTATGTCGCTGTGTGCTCAGTGGACAGATAGCAATAGAATAATTGTAATAGATCTAGATCGGCGACCTACTTCGGCTAGTTCCTTCACCCTATCTGGTATTCGCCAAACCAAAAAACAGCTACTACACGGTGTTTGCAGTAGTAGTTTTGAAGGCGCTCGGGAAGTATTCGTACCAAGATGACGCACAACCTGAACAATCCAAACCTGGTACACTACTACGCGCCATATTGGTACAAATACTTTGGGAGCACCGTTTTGAATGTGTATCGTAGCTATAAATAATTACTTCTGATTTTCTATTGTAGTCGGATCCAGTTACTACTCGGTGTTTAATAGTCTGAAAAATGTTTGCCAGAGCAAATACGAAGTCATATTATTGTAATGAACCGCTTTACGAGAAAATTAAACATCCATTGAGCCAATTTTTCGTCTCTGAAAATACCGCATTTGTGAGATAGAAATTCGGGAGCTGGCATCTCATCTTTATTTCTTTGCGTTGTTTTGATTGCACGCAGAGGTGGTCGTTTTACCATCAGTGTCTACGCAGATGTTTTGTACTGTGTGGTAAATTTCAATTAGTTTGAAGTGATTTAAATTTAAGGCTTGCTTAAGTAAATAATATTATTGGATAAAACGTTGCATGGTAGAAGAATGATTTATATAAAGTCGAAAGAGGTTAAGTCGCCATATATACTTCTACTTGCTAGCGAAGTCGCTTGTATACAGATAGATAAAGTATCTTGAACCTCAACTGTTATGTGCACTGTGTAAAAAAACATCTTCCAAGTATTATAACTTTGAATTCCAATGTTTCGAAACGTTAAATATATATTTAAAAAAAATATACTGTATATTTTCGTATAATGTTTTTACTGGAAAATGCTGCGTGGCAGTATTGCCGACACTATAAAAGAACTATTTTCGGATATTTTGTACACAAAAGAAGCCAGCGCGTAAAATAAGAAAATTAGTAATTATCCAGTCAGAGTTAGTGTTAGGAATGTAGATTGTGCTGGAAATTCTAATTTTCAAATCATTCGCAACCCTAGCTTGATAATTGCTAAGTTGTTATTTTAAAACTTGACGTGTGTCTTTTTCTTAAATCTTACATTTTTGCATTAGTAGCGGGAGCGTTGTACGAAAGATCCTTATTTTCATGTTATTGTTTTAACAAAGTTTTACGATAATCCCTGGCCTTATTCAGTTGGTACACATTGTCGGTCGGTCGCTTGTTATCATTTGGCTAACGTTATAGACTCTCAATTTTTATTGCCCACTATTATCTTGCGGTAGCCGAGCGCATTAGAAATTATTGAATTGTCACCGCATTATATCTACTTTAGGTGCTTTTAAATATTGTGCGCATATTCAATTGAGAAAACGCCTTTCGGAATCGTTTAATGTGGTCTATCTTCAAATATTTATTGTATAAAAACGTTTATAGAAGACATTGTGAAATGTATAAAGTGGTAAGTTGAACTAATTCTCATTGATGTTAACCACGATTAACGTACCCTTTGTGTGGCTTTGTATGAAATGTGTGATGCTAAGCCTAAAATTGAATATATACACATGTAACCAGTTTCAGTATTTTGTCTGGAATACTCCAGTAACTGCACTACTAATTTCTCTATCTGTACTACCGAGCATTCTTACTTTAAGGACTATTTAGCGTCGACCCGTATTCTGCAAACTTGTCAAACATAGGTAGGCATCAAAGCGTCGCATTTAGCAGAATGACTGAATAATAGTTTTTTTTTTCACAATTTGTATCAGATAACTCACATCTAAATTTTATTTCAATTTACGAAAAGTTTTTATAGCGATAATGGAAACCGCATAAATTGAAGTGAAATGTCATTAGCAATTGTTAGGAATAAAATCATATTGAACACTTTTGCGTAATTATACCTGTGTATATATAGTTTATTTGAACAAAATATTTACAATTCTTTCATACCGTTAGGCAACTGGAGGATGAGAAAAAATAAAAGCGATAGGCATTTTCTCAATCTTTTCGAACAAATGCTACTGAAAAACTTCGAGGTATAAATATCTCGGATGATTTTGAAATAATCTCAACATTAGCTTGACAACGATTTTGAACATGTTGGTCCATAGATTCAGTGTCCTATCTAGACTCTTTTTTTTTATTTCGATGTTACTTTTTTATCCTCCGTTATTATGTTCAGTTATCATAAGTTAATGTAAAAACGTATAATATACTCTAAAATAAAAATGAGTATCAGCACTGAGTCTGTCTCCACGACTGGGAATGGTCATATTCTTACATCAAGACTTTCGAGAATTTCGATGGATATTACTGCGACTCCGTTCGCCAGGACAAGAAAATTAAACAGGTAATCATTGAATTTTTTATTGTCATTAGAATCATTAGCTCCACTTCGTGTCCAATAAGCCACAACAATTCAACCTTGACAAGTCGGAACGAGCTGATTTCTATAGAAATTTATGCTTTTTCGGTCACATCATCAACAAAATGTTTGAATCAGATTTTCTGGTTCAAGTTATAGCCTGCTAGCAAATAATAACGTGGTACTTTGGTATAAGTTTGCAACAATGCAACACAATTTTATTTTTGATTAATGTTTGAACTTTGGAAGCTTTTGCTTTACTTATTTCTTCTTACTGCACCAAGATTTACAAATCAACGCAGGGCCAGCATTGATATAATTTAGTTCTTTCAAATAAAATGCTCAATTAGCATAAAACACATTTTTTTTATATAAAATGGCGTCCCGGAAAAGCGTAAAATTTGCTTTTATTCGATTGACACATATTCTTATATTTCGAGTCCATCCCAAAACAATGCTAAGGAATTTGGATTAATGTTCCTCATCGGTATACAATGATAAATACAAACACAATTTTAGAAACTTGTCAACTGCCAGCTTAATTGGAATTGCGCCAGCAGTAACCAGTCCAACTGAGCCTCTTCCAAGCCCTGGACGAAAAATATCGAGAACTGGACAACCACCTTTGTTGAGAAAAGCGTCACAATTACAAGGTGAGACTTTGTGTAAGAATTGGTGATAATAAATTAATTGAAGTCAAAATTTGATCATCAGTGATTTAGGCATCATGTATTGGAAGTTTCATAAATGGTACGTGATTTTCAGTTTCTGAATACATGGAGTAATTGAATGAATAGGTATTTGAAGTGTATATTTCGGCAATAGAAGTAAATTTTAATAAGTACCGGTACTTGATGAAAATGTTAAAGTATGATATTGGTAAGCGTAAGATTTCATAATATTTTAAGAAAAGTCTGTCTGTCAAGCTCAACGTTTAGGCTGCGTTTTCTTGTTTGCATAGTAAAGTGAGTCTATTGTTTGATATTCATTGTGACTATACGTGACATTGTTGATTCTAAGCAAAATACTTCCAACAGCTGAAAAAATATAACATTTGGATCAAGTCCCCAATAAGTTTAAATTTTCATTGCACTCAAGTAGTGTCAGAGCATGACACTACATTCTCAACAATATAATTCAAAGATGAATTGCACGTTTCAAACCATAGGTTTCGAAAATCAATACCAACTCTTCTATTCCGAAAATAAATGGAGCTTACCTCATTATTCAAAATATCCATTGAAGTGTCACAATGCAGTCTCAGTGCCATATTGAGGTTGTTCAGAATAAATGATGATAATTTTAAGAAAAGCCCTGCAATGAAATATTCTTTGCAACAGATTTATCACTTTGTGAAATTCAACCACGCTCTCATTTTTTATATTCATCCATGTACACTTAGTTTCTATCTCATACTTGTCGGTGAAACTGAATTACATTTTATAAGTATATAATGAACAAGGTGTCGTTCACGCAAATATTTATTCCAAAACTCGAGGTTTTTCATAACAACCTAACATATTTCGTTCCCATAAGCAGGAAGCATCAAAAAGCGCTACTAAGATATTTTATGAGTTGTTTAATTAAACGTGTAAGTTTGTATATCTGAAATGAACCATAATTTTTTTGCATAATTAGTAGACTGAGTTATAGAAAGATTTCATGCTATGCAACTGTTTCAGGGGACCTTCGTCAAACCCCTGGAACAGTTCGACCAAACCCCAGGGGTTTGATCGAACCTAGGTTAAAAAATTTGAAACGAAAAAAAAACGGGTTAATACGGCTGAACCGACCAAATAATACGTAGGGAACTCTAATATCCAGAGTGTGTGACGTCATATTGGAAACCCAAACAGACTATGTCGACTGTGTTGCAACAATGTGCGCTTATTAACAGTGAGTCTCTGAAGTTTTATTGGAATTGAGTGCGGTTAATTTAGGATTATGGAGAGCGTAATAATGCGCTATAAGCATGAATATGCGCTAAAATGGCGTATGACTTCAATTAACAGTCTAGTTGTTATCGATCATTTTACTAACTAAACGACAAAATATCTTCACTATTGTTGATGTATCCGAGTGTTGTTGAGAAAAACATCAAAACACCATTTAATCTGTTATTTTGTCTACTTCACAGATCAATTGTAAAACAGAATAATATTTTTATTTTTCTAGCCGTATGATAATCACAATGATAAACCACTATAGAGGAAAGTGCGCAAATGAATTTGTATTCTGAACTAAAACAAACAAATTATAGTAGTGATAATAAATAGAAAAATATTGTAGTCTGGAAGTATTTTGAATTATAGAAGTGTTTCATATGTATGTATAGATGAACCGGGTTCCAATTGACAGATTTTTACAGGACCATAAACACCTTTATAAATAAAAACAGTTTGTTTGAATGACCGTGAAAAATATAATAGAAATGTAGATAACAGTTTGGCAAATAGAATAATATAAAGAAAGTCATACATTGCTGTGACGTTCAACATTTTGGATAGCGTACCCCACGCGGTTTTAGTTTGTTTTTGAGGTATACTCCTGCAGAAAGTTGTACTACATTACATTTTGTATGACCTGTATATGAACGTTGTTGTAAAGAAAGATATAGATATCGTCCATGTTTGAGAGGTAGCATTATAGTAGCACTTTCATTGTAGATCCTGTTTGTCTTGGGTCACGTCTGTTGCCGTCAAACCAAACAGTTCAATGTTGATTTATTTAAATTCATCCATTGTTCGCCCAGTTCGACCAAAATTCTATTATTCGCCAATAAAAACACATTATATACGTACATGAATATATAGAATGCGGCAATGTGTAAAAGCTTTATAGGAAAGGTTTGCGTTAGTATACACGGAGTTCCAGGCGTTGTCGCACTTTGAAAATTCAATAACTCAAGCTACTAAAGAAATGGAGTCGAAAATAGTTTTATCTAAGGAAGTGTCAGGTTGATATAAATGGTCGCTCCATTCTATGTGCTTAGACTGTTAATATTTGCATAACTCTGAATAATTGAGATTTAATAAGACGATAAGGTTGTACAAATACGAACCCAAGCGTTTACCATCCGACTTTCAGTGAAAAACCTTTCATCTTTTTCTTACCAGTTGTACTTGAAGTCTCCATGTAGATAGAATGATATATTAGATGTCCAGCACAGGCCAAAGCGGATTTTAAATATAAAAAAAATGAATTAAAATTATTTGAGTTAACAGTCACGTGATTTGTGCTGAAATTTTAGGTATATACTACTTTAGGTATATTGTACTGCCAAATGGTTTATTAAAACTTTTGTTTTATCACACTGTATCGTGTATGTAGTTTTTAATCAGACGTTGGAATGAATATATTTTTCAAATGCCTTAATAGTGTAACATGACACACGAGATATCCCGTAATGCAGTAATAAATAAAATATGTTGTTTTCTCAAATATATTTTACATAGCTTTTTATAACTCAAAAAAATGATAAAGGCAGCAGTGGCATCTGGTAAGTTTGCGTCCATATAATAATAATTTACGCATTACATTGTTGAACACATTTGATTGGTTTTTGATGTGTAGTGCAAAATTTCATAAACGAGGTTGGGTAAAACTACCATCTTCCGCAGTCACCACTGGAATCCATTACTTCCTTGTGCTTTCCCCGCAGCCGTAGACCCTGCCTAAACGAGAGAACCCATCTACTACACCGTGTTCAAAGCATGGCACGAAAAAACAAACACTGCTTAGATTAAAATTGGGGTTGGTAATGTGATATATCCATAATATGCATATAAAGCTTACTTTTATATATATATATATATATATACTTGTATTATCTGCACTGCAAAAAATATTTCAATATTTCAAAATATTTTTTATCATAGTCAGCAAGGTCGGACCAGTAAATTCTGGAAACAAAGTTGCAAATGGGGGAAGCGCTGCGATTGTGTCGCCGACAGAAACGGGCACAACCGTTTCGACTCTTCCGTCGATAACAGAGTCAAAAAGAATGAATTTAACTGATGTAGTGATTTGGAGAAGATTTACTCGAGCGCTAAAGCAGAGAGTGCAAGATAAGAAGTCAGAAAAGAGAACTTTTTGCTGGGTAATTTCGATGTGTTCTTGCATACGTCATTGACGTTTCAGTCTACATTCTACCGTTTTTTATCTGCAACCAAAGCAATGTATAAATACGCATAAATATGATGTACAACAAGTCTACTCTACTAAATTGAGCTTTTAATAAAGCAATTTTTAAAGAATCTATCCTTAATTCCTGATCGAAAACGGTAAATTGATAGGGTATCTAAAATAGATGAAAGTAATATTGTTAGCTAACGCAACTGAAGTGGCATTGTAATTCATTTAACCAATTTACAGTTGGATCGGTCGATGTCAACTTATGGTGGCGGCGATGGAAGCGGACAGGGTGAGCGAACGGCCGAGATGGAGCCTTCATACAGGATGGAACCAAGCAGTAAACCTAAAAAAGAAAAATGCACAGAGATGATCGAAAAATATTTGGCAGAAAAACTAAAAAACGTGACATATGAGCCTGAGTCGTGTGGAGAAGTATCGAAGGAGATTACAGACGATATAAAAAGAGAAGCAAAAAGACTCGAACTACTCCCACCCCGTTACAAATGTGTTGTGTATGTTGTTCTCGGTGAGAAAAAAGACCAGGATATTAGGGTGAGCAGCATGTCAGCTTGGGATAAAAACACTGACAGTTTTGTGTCCAGTAGTTTTCAAAATGGGTCAATATTTTGCGTGGTCACATTCTTTACGGTATATATGGAATAGGCAACGTCACAGAACCACTGATAACTACACAGTAGTCATATAAGTGCGGTTTAATTAAGCAAGGGTCTGCACATGCAAAATGTGGCTTAGTTGGTTATCTATTACGGACATTCTGTTTATGACGCGCAAAACGAACTTGTGTCGACTATAAGTGAAGATGGTAATATCATATTCACATAAAGCGACAATATGCATGTTCCGCTAACCCTCGTCCATATATGTATATATATATATACAGATAAATGTGTGTGATATCAGAGATACCATTCAATATTCCAAAACATGCACCATCCATTATACATGTTGCGAGAGGTTTATTATGGTATATTCCAACTCTCTAGGAGAATATAGCCATGTTACTCCTGTTAATTTTATGTCTAATATATATCATCGTTAGTGATCAAAATGATAACTGTGAAATATATTTAAAATATCGTATGTTCCAACTTGTAGTGTGATTGAGAAATCACGCAATCAGTTTCCTCATTCCACTTGTAATAAAAATGAAACGGACTGCATCTGCGCAACGATTTCGAAAACTCAGAACATTATGTTGTTGCATAAATGAATATGACACTTATATATATATTTACCTTCAGATTTTAAATGTTGTTTTATTGTATATTTGTATTGAAGTTATGTCAATATTCAATGCACACTACTTGATTGGCTATTTGCGCATATTATACTCCGTATATGCAAGGCAGTTCTTTCGAGTTTTTCTCGAATTGATTAGAAGTAACATGTGCTTCGTCTACATTCTTGTCTATCATATAGGTAATAACCTTTCTCTTAAATTATAAGCATTAATGTAAAGTAGTAGCCAAAATATAAAATAGTTCCGGACACATTTCATATATATTTTTTCTAATATATTTCATATTTGTCCGTTTCAAAGTGCTTATTTATGCCCTCTTTGAGATCAGGAATATGGAGCGGTATTTAGATAAGGTAAACATGCTCAGCCTCATTTTATTTAACAAGTTAGTAGAAAGATCACCACACAAGACCAACAACGGTAAATCGCTAATCTATCCTAAGACTACTTAAGAGTGAATAGCGAAATGAAAGCTGCATTAAATAACACCCCCCAGTCATACATTACCTTTACACAAATACTGAAGTTTTTCGGGTTTCGATCAGGGTTTCCGAAATTTGTCCCGCCAGGAGCAGAGTTCATCAATAGGTAGGCTACTATTCTCCACGATTACTTCATGTATAACTCAAAAGTAAATTGAATGCAATTTGCTCGATTCTTTGACTGTATTGCATTCCTCCTGCATTTTTATTGATAGACGCCATATATACAGACAGACGGCTTGCTGCATGGCTTATCAGAAATAATGTGACATACAAATGTGCTCGGCTGGGCCCTTCAACACGCATGTCAAGAAAGAGTTGCATACAAACAGAATTGGAATACTAAAGCCAAGTTTGATGTATATTTACAATGTTAAAGAAAGCAGCTAACAAGGCAGTAATGTACAAGAGTGATCTAAAATAAAATACAAAGTACTCTATGCTAGTATAACTGCCCTTTCAATCAAAACATTAGAAAAATGTTTCCGAACATCAAATTCCTAACATAATCGACTATTAGGATATCATGAGTAGCTAGTGATGTTTGAAGATATTACCACTATATTCTGAAAGCCCAAAGGCTACACAGAATTTCTAACTGAAATCAGTCACCAGTAACATAATATCATACTTGAAAAGGTTTCAAGCATAAAGTGTTAATCATAATCCTCAGAATCCCATCACTTCTAGAATATGAAACAATGGTTAGTTCAGGTGATAAGAGAGACACCAGAATGACACTTCAATTGCGAAGACAGGTTAAGAAATTCCATTTTGTCCATACCCCCAATGTATTCTTAGGAAGGTTCTGATATTATTTCTAATGTGTTGAACTAGCATTCTCTGGCGGACTTTTCTGATAAAGAACCTTCCATATTAACATTCCACCAGAAATTCTGTACTGTTATGTATTTACTACAGTTGTATGTACAGGACAGGATTTACCAGTCCATGTCGGGTATGGGGTTAGTTAGCCAGTGATTTTGTTTTCAGATGCATGGTCTTGGCGGTGGAGGAAGCCGCAATACAACACAATTCGAAAATTTAGAATGCTAAAATAACTATGAATTCAAACTTATGATTTTAAATTATGAGTCCAATTCAAAATCACTATAGCTGAATCGGTAAAATGATATTTGTTCACGGATCTCCATTTTTAACAGTTTCTCCATTTGTGATGACAGCTGTTTTTGTTTCAACAGTCTGTTCAATATTTTCTTTGTCAGCCTTGACAGGAGTAGTTTTCTCACCATTATCAGTTTTCTTGTCATTTCCTTCATTCTTCTGAAAAAACAATAAGCAACAATTATTACATAGTTATTAGGAATACAGTGAACTCTAATATACGACAGATAACATTCCAAATGACAATATAAAAACACAATATATATAAAAAACACAAATACCTATACAATTCCTTCGACTTCTTTACCATGTAAGAACAAGACTGTGTACAAGAGGTATTGAACAGTGGGAAGATACAATATCTTTCTGGTTTTGCATATTTCATACAGCTTGTATGTAAGTTTGAGCCAGGGCGGAAAAAAACACCATTTCAAAACCAATATAAGATGATCAGCCGGGACAGAAATTGTGATATGATACATAGAAATAAACTGATCTGTCCTATTTACACCACTAATCACTTTGTCACATGCTGAATTATAATTTTCATTCATGTTGTTGTAGAGACGGATATATTTGTGTATCAATGTAATGTTTTTAATGTTTTTGAAACAAACCTTTTCCTTTTCATCAGCTTTCTTCTCTGCACCTTTAGATCGACTTCTAGATCGAGACCGTCGTTTCCTCTTACTTTCTCTGCTTCTGTCACGATCTCTGTCTCTCTTACGATCTTTCTTGTGACGACTACTCCTATGTGTAAAGTGCAATATAATAAGCAGGTTAGACGGATTAATCTACAAAATGTTATTTAAAATCTTTGATACTTTGATGCAGTAATTAGCAACATTAATTTCTTGAAAACACCACGACAAGCTTTTTTATATTCTTCAAACTTACTTTTTTCCTGGTGACTTCGATCTTGACCGAGACTTAGATTTATCTTTGTCTCTCTTTCTTGATGGGGAACCTTCCTTTTTTCTTGATGAGGAGCGATCTCTTTTTTTTGAGGATGAGCGATCTCTCTTACGACTTCTGTCACGCTTGCGACTCCGACTTCGTGATCGACGATGGCGTTTCCTGTTATGAAGTAAAATTCCCAATTATGCTGATATTTAGTGCCCATAAAATTATACAATATGGCATTAAGACAATTCAATCATTAGAAACTTGAAATGAAAACATTACCATAAGCAATCACTCTAATGAAAACTGAAAGTTTTCTTAAATATCTTTTAAATACATATACACAGTATTAATTGCTTTTACCAACCCTGTCATTAGAATTCTGAGCTTTATTTGTCATATCTTAACAACTTATATACCATCACTCAAGATTGATTTCATATTTGGGAATCCAGAATTACTTCAAAGGTAGTTAATTAGAGATAGCATTTGCTATTGATTAACATATCTACCTTACACAATGGCCCATGCGCTGTTATAAAATTAAAATACAAATCTTATATGAGCAGATGCACGTAATTACCACAGTAATAAATAGTTATCCGAGACCAGTAAGATAAAAGATAAAATTTATTATCTTTTTTATCTTTTATCTTTTCAGTCGCACTGCAAACTTTTGTTTGTTTGGTAAGAGCAATACATCAACCAGATATCAAATTAGTTTTGTGCAATCTAAACAGCAAGTACATCATAACACTTAATCAATATGTCTAAAATTAAAAAACAACTTACTTTGATCTGGATCTCGATCGTCTGGATCTTGATCTTCCAGCTGACCTTGAACGTGACCGTCTGCGTCTCCTGCTTCGAGAATTACTACGTCTTCTTCTACTACTGCGACTACGAGATCTTCTATGTCGATGACGAGATCTCGATCTTGAACGAGATTTCGATCGACGTTTCTTTTCTAAAAATTAATATCCAACATACACGTATACAAACACTTTGTATTTATTTGCGGAGTTCATGCATAACCTGGTTACACTGCACCTAACTTTATGAAATCGTTGCAAAATCAGTAATGCTATAATACTTCTTCAAAATAACAGGTTGAAAGCAGGTCCGACATACGCTTGGCATCACACCTCTGATTATCCTGCGTGGGATTGCAGGTTCAAATCATCTGGGGGATATTCATGTGGGGCAGGATTGCTCGACTCAACGACGTTGTAGGGTGGATTGCTCGACTCAACAACGTTGTAGGGTGGTTTATTTGACTTCCACCATTAAGTCCATGCATCAGAAAACAAATAACTGGCACAACACATAACCACATGAACCTAACCGAACGAGAGGCTGTGGTACTCCATATGATTAAGCTGTATTATCCACTTCCCTCTTCTCGCTGAGATAAATATGGAAATTCTATCTTAATTTGCCAAATTATTCACCTTTTACTTCTGGCTCAAGAGCTTTTGAAATGAGTGATTGTGCTTCTCTCACTCTTCTCATTGCTTCCTCAATTTCTTTAGCATTCGTTTCCTGAGTTTTCCCTTGTGGTTTAACAATAGCATTATTTGAGTGATTGACCCTGCAAAAAAAATATCAATAAGATATGCTGCACAGAAATAAAGTTGGAGCAAAGCGTAAAAATTTGAATGTAATAACTCATCATTAAATTCCACACAGTCAGTCATTAACTTATCTTAATAAAGCCATCTAGACGAGTGCTTCTCTAGGTGCGCAATATCGCCCTCAAGAGGGTTAACGAGAAAAAATATGGGGTTAAACATCTGTCAGAAATATAACTCAGAATCATCAAAAAATTTTTTTTGATCATGTGCCAATTATTTGTCCGAACTCGGAAGCTCAAAGTTTTCCAGTTATGGGTCGATGATGATGTATACAAGTACTGTAAAAGGGCAACACTAACAGTACCTAAGTCTTGAAAACCAAAGATTTTATACTATATAGTCAATCATTTTAAAGAGTGATAACATGCAGATGAGGTTATATAGGCTGCATATAAAAAGTTCAATTATGAGACGAGAGTCTATGAAACCAAATTGATACAAAAAAGCAAAACATAAACACAAAATTTAATTAAATATTCTTTTTTGAAAAGTTCCAAATGAGGTCCCCATTAGTAATGCGAACGATATCAAAATCAAATCACCAAATTTTAGCCATCTTAAAAAGTTTATTCTTACTTAATAGGTCTATCACCAAACAGCATTCCATTTAGTTGCAAAGCATTTTGTACGGCCGCTGTATCTGCGAACTCGACAAAAGCGAAGCGTGTCGGTTGCGTTTCATCTCCTGCCATACGTACAAATCGTACTTCTCCACATGTTGTAAAAAATGTTAATAACTGTTCAGCCGTTGCATTCTGTAGAGTAAATAAACATATTCTTGATCTTACAAAACACAGTAAGCAACTACATTATGTTTAGAAAGGCATATCAGTAATTACAGCAAAATACTACACAAGACTCACAAAATGCAAATCAGTTTTCATTCAGAAGAAAAGCGAGAATGAAGATTCAACCTTTTCCCTACTTTATAGAGTAAAATGGTCGAAAACCACCAGTAGTCAACTAGCAAGGTTTCAATACACAAAAAATTGCTAACACTCCTTTTTATACGAAGATTGCAATACACATATTAATACTGAGATAATATCAAGTAAACATTAATGAATGCAAATTTTACGAGAAAAAATTTAATAAACAGCTCAAAAGAATTTAATTGTACAACCAATAAAACTGCAATTATTTAGGAAATGCATTAGAATTCAAACAAGTGGATTGGTGGTTGAAACAGTTGACCCAACTATGACGCCATCACAGTTTAAAATCTTAAGTTGACCTCACCCAGAATGTAGTGAATTTGATAGGCAATTCAGGAACCAAAAATATTCTTCTCCTACCATCTATAGTAGCTCCTTACCGAGTAATTGCTGCTTGTTCAGACCAAACGTCGAAGCAATGAATGTAAAAAAGGTGTAAATATACAGTTATATTGAAAAAAATTATTAGTAAGTACCTTTGAATCCAGATTTCCCACGTATATAGTTCTTTTAATTTCCTCGACTTTATTTGGATCAACATTCCCTGGTATCTGATGCTGCAAATGGTTGTAAAATATAGCAGGATGAAAGATACCATTTATTTGATCGAACCAACACAAAAAATGAAGGCCGAAAATAGGTTGTAGTAAAATTAATGTAAAAAAAGTTATTTAGCAATATACCGTCTCAAATTTATGTTTTTTCAAATAAAAGATAAATTGAAATGTTGGTTGTTTGGTCACGCAAAGACACTTCCTAATAAAACATACCAAGACCCAGTAAAATGTTGATATAGTGGAATTTTATCTGCACACTTTATGGCCCACCCTCTACACTTGTGTTAGATTGTCGATTTACATAAACGATAAAATCGAATAAAAACATTTGTTAATTTTGAAGCTGGCATGAATTTCATTTTCAGCTTGATAAATAAAAAAAATCAAGGATGCTAAACTTACTCCAGATTCAGATTCACTTGTTGCTGGTGCAACATATTGCATTGCGACATTCTCATCAGGTATGATTCCTGTTAATTCAAACACAACAATCAGAAAATACGATATTGGTATACAAAAGAATGAGTGAACACAAAGAAATGGATTCTTTTTTGGATATTTCATTCATTTTTATTGAGAACTAGTAGCCAGTCATAAATTAATATCAGAGATATAAAATCGAGGTTACCGTTTTAATCTACAAAGTATATTTAGTATAAAACGATCTAAATAACTGCAATCAGTCTGCTGGCACTCTTTGACTTACAAAACTAGCTTTCACTTTCTGAGGGAAAGTGAATTTATCGAAAAACACTTTGGGTATCCAGAGGTTCACTTGATATAGAAGAGAAAGTGAAGACATCCATCCTCCACTCTGTGTGTGGCTAGAACGTGCACAAATATAAAACATAGCACAAAATGCCATGAAATTTCCCGAATCACAACATTATAGATATAAAACACTTAATTAACGCAGAGAAAACAACCTGAAAGGGATCATGTAATATCAAGATTTTGTTAAAAAAAATAGTAAGATTTCGAGAACGTACAACAGAGCTGTTTACCGCTAATTGACACAGTTATCACAGCTCAAAATGGTTATTGATGAACTGACAACTTATTCGATTTACCACTTTCTAAAACATACAAGTAAGAGATAAGTTAAATAGTTAATTATTATTGTCTTGTCTGAAAAATATCCCCAGCTGACCCCAGCTTTGATATTATGTTTAAAATTACCAGATAATAAAAGCGATCATATTATAAAATACATTTTAATTTAATTTCTAGATTTCTGACGCAAGTTAGATATGATATTTAGGCAACGCCACAAGCAACATTTTTAAGTCGAGTACTGCATTGTCTCCTCTCATCGCTGGTCATGCAAGAATTGTAGTATCTTTCAGGCCGTTATCTCATTCTTGTGCAGTAGTATGTAGCCACATAATATTATAATAATGCACACAAAGAAAGAAGAGAAAACAGAATATGACTTATAATATTTGATAACAATGGAGGTGTATGCAGTATATGGTATTTTGAATACAAAGTATATGGATACTTTATAAAATTCTATTGTACAACTTTTTTATTTTTACAGGCATGAGATTATACTTTTCTAAGATGACTAAAATCAGTTAAGCGTATCAAAAAAATTATAAAGTTGCAGGGCCATTTAGGTGATGCCACATTCGATAATGACTTACAAATCTCCAAGTACGCAAACGGACTATTTTAGTGTTCCAGACTCATGGCCCACATTATAATTAGGGCTGGGCAAAATATTTGAATAACGAATAGCAAAACGAATATTAAATTATTCGAATGGCATTTTACTATTCGAATATCGGGTACCACGTGATCTGCGCCGCCTCGCTTAGACACAGAACGTCTCTGAACCGATCGTGAATTGCGCGAGAATTCACCTACAACGCTCGCTAACAGACAAAAGCGACAAATTTGAAAAATCATCTTTGCGTTGTGGTGTTATTTGTTTTCTTTGCGTTTCAATCGTTCATTTCAATTCCATATTTTGCAAAACAAGGTACCGACACCGTTCCCTAAATTTAGAAACGTCAAATCAGATGAGGTATTTAAAATAAATATCCCAGATTTTAAACTCTGTACGATTGGCGGCACGTGATTAGCCGTTTCATGCATGAACCAAACATAAATTTGTTTAACGAAAATTAAAAGTTTAAATAACTTTCGCATGAAACCATACATAGTATAACACAAACAAGCTATGACCAGTAAAGAAATGGCAGAACATAATTCTTTTAATGTACTTTCAAATTAATTCTTTAGTGATCCCTTTCATTCTTGACCAAGTAATGTTTCGAAAATGTAAACATTTCACTCGGGCATGCATGGCAGGTGGAGTGTAGAAATCATAACGTAAAATCAATCGTGAATTTCGATGTAACAACGCGTCTCGTTCACGAATTGTTGTATCGTCGGAAAAGATTACATCCGTTATATTTTGAGCATTTTTGCACTGATAAATGGGGGGTGACATTATCAAAATTGTCAAGAGAAGTAGAAGTGGACAAATTCCGTAAATAAAATTTTGTATTACTCGGTAACGATATTAGCTATAATGATAGCGGGGGTTTCTTATAAGAAAATGTCGGACATTGGAAGAGTTGGTTATAATTACCGCCTGGCCATCTATTAGGTACAAAAGCGCAATTTCTTTCAGCAATAGGTCGAATATGTAAATTATTATTCAAGAAGCGCTGCTTATTAACGTCATCTCGTCATATGGCCACGCAGAAATGCCTTTATTGTCGAATTATTTAGTCATTATTATAAATCAACATTCAGGATTGACGCAATCGCAGCTTTGCGAGGTTTATCTATAAAGTAACATAGACACCATAGAAAAGCATAGCAAGTTAATTACGGTATTGTCATAAATATCTGCATCTCGGTATCGATATTACAATTACCGTTCCCTTAATATTGTGACGGTAAATTTACAAACGCTGATAAGTAATATGAAAGCCAATGCAAATGATAAAAATTAGAATAATATTAATTAGGGGGTTTGAAATTATTCCTTAATGGTTTTAACAACTGGAGCCGACGTGAACGCACGGGTAAATCCGAAATATAAACTTCGATGTCCGCCGACCCGAAAGCATTAATACTTGCAAAAAACATAAAGGGCGGTAATATAGATTATATATCGCCGCAAAAACGTTCACGTGACAATTACAAAAAAAATCAGCGATTATGACAAAATTAACCAGTGAAGAACGCTTCGAAGCCAAAGGGAGTATCGACCGACGTTCTGGACCTCCTGTTGTGTATAAAAAATATTCGTTATTCGACTATTCGGTATTCGTTAAAAATATTCGAATTATTCGATTCGAAAAAAATATTCTATTTTGCCCACCCCTAATTATAATCATAATAAAATGATTTAAATTGAAATGCAAACTCGTATAACGTTGACATAATGAATGCTTTGTTATGGGCTAAAATCATAGTACAAAACAGCAAAATGAATAAATAAAACTTTTTCAAAGCTAATAAAACAACCTCTGTACCTTCATTATAAGCCACACAAATCAATGCTTTGTCAATGAATACAGTATGTGAAAGATGTTGTCCTGTTGCGACTGGTGATGAACTCTGAAATCGAATAAAAGCTACTTTCGAGCTTACTGGAATTGTGTTTCTGTTAAATGAAAAGAAACAATTACAGCCAGTTTACATTAGAACAAATTAGAAGACGCAGTGGGAGTTTCAAAGTAAAATGGTTACTGAGCATTACAGAATGTTTATTTCCAGGGCCGCGAAGATTTCGAATTCTTTGACTAGACTACTGATTGAGGTCAAAATTTCTGGCATATACTAGAAATAAATTAAGTTGAGTACCGGTAAGCATTTTCAACATATATTGTTAAAGACAGTGTGCATAAGCCACAGTTTTTGTGGTCAAACTAGATTTTCAAACATTTGGAAGCTTGATAAAGCTATAATAAGATAAGCTGTGTGAAATGTAGCTTTTCTCAGACTTGAGTGCCCTGTTTTTTTGAAAGTTTGTACTTGGTGGAACGCTTCATCCTATTCATATTTTAATTTTTTATCTTATATTTCTAAGACATAATGTGCAGAACTACATCCAGACATCATTTACATTTGATTATTCACTTTGTTCAGCTGTTTCTTGAAAGAGGGCATCTGGCACGATGGCAGATGCATCAGATCATATCCTGTAAGTATGGATAATAATATAAACCAACAGCGACGTGCGTCATCTGTCACATGCCAAAGTTGCGTTTTTTGCTTAAAGTTGGGACACTTGTTTGCTTTTGGGACTTTCAGGACTTTATGATGGAACAGTAAAATGTCGAGAGCAGCAAAATAAATGCAACAGATTTTAATATTTAGTGAAACAAAGAAAATATTACGGTGAAGGGTACATTGTTTTTGATTTAGTTTGATACAATCAATAAACAGTTGTTCTTTTTATCTGAAGATCAAGCAGTCAAGTGACAAAACTGTAAAAGGAAGTTACGAAAATGCAGTAGCCTAGCCTATATCATATTCTATGATGCAATGATTATACAGGTACCGTACCTAATTACCGTATTTCAGTACCAGTATTCGAAATGGTAAAGACTTAGGTCTGAAGGTAGGTAACTTACGTTTTAGGAAAAACTTGCATTTCATCGATGGGTCCTAGAAAACTGAACAAAGTTTCAAGCTGTTCCATAGTTACAGAAGGTGATATGTTCGTCACCTGAAGAACTTTAGTATCAGATGCCTCCATTGTATCGTTTGAGGTGGAAATACCCTCCACTCTGGGACTCTTCACAGCAAAAATAAAACTCGACTATTCCGCCAACTGAATCGCTGCTGAAACGTCTGAAAGTTGACGACGAGCCAACCGATGGAGAGAAAAAATATGCATTATTCCCATGCGGAAAAATCATTTAGTGTAATGTATTGTAAGGAGTTTCGAACACATAATCTCCGAAAAACCCTATTACATACGCACAAAAAACTCATTTAAAGTTATTATCTTCATCATTTCTCCAAGATCTCATGGAAGAGCCATTGATTTAAGATGATAAAGCGGAAGAGGAACGGACTTAGTTTAGTAGAACGGATGTCAGGGCAATGCATAGGAAATTTATGTAAAAGTATGTAAATATCTATGGTCAGGGACTCATCGAAATTCAGGACTTTTTCTAGTATGTAGATTCAATGACATTAAACAACATGATGCGCAACTCCGGCATTTTTGGCCGAAGATCGTATTCGATACGCTCCAATGCACATACTTGACGATACGAAAACGAGCGGATGTGTGCTGCTTTCAAGACATAGCATTAATGGTGTTCGTGCCTGCTTTGACAGTTGTTGTCGATTTTAATGATATTTTGGAAAGTTGAGGTAAAAGGGTAAGGTAAATACTATTGTTGTATATCACACCCGGGCATCGCACTGTTAAGTACATGTGGGAAAGCCAGCCTTTGTCGAATACTACGAAGTTATTGATTCAGTACGGTACGTAGTTGCCCATTTGCCGAAATAGCATATTTACTTACCCCTCATGGTTTCAAATAGTTCATGTACCTCCATTTAGATTTTTTTAATCAGTGAGGATATATAGTCATTGCCTATTGCTGCTCATTGTAACATACTATTGCGAATCTACTTTTATTTGCGTATTGAATCAAAGTGTCAACAAGTTCACCTAACATGTCACTCATACCGGTCTATATTGTATAGTCTGATCTCTCAAGTATTTGGATCCACGAATGCTTTTAATTTTCTGACTAAACCCTTTTATTAGTTGGTTTATATACCAAATTCAGTAAAACATTTTTTCACAAAACATGAGATATTGGATTTATTAGCTTTTCCATTCTAAATCATATAGACTGCTTTATTTGTTCTTAACGCGAAAATAAGCAAATCTCCTCTCTTACTTCAGATGTGAAAGTTGTGGACAAACCTGTCTAAGCATTGTGAGACCCCTGCAGCACAAGAGGCAATAGCAAAAATAGTAAGTATATCAATCAAGAAATTAAGCCGACATAAAGCAAAACTTTCAACTATTCGTCTAATCTCAATTTCCTATTATTTAGTCACAGGACAATTATAGCAGAAGGGGAGATATCAGAAGTCTGGCGACATATCAGTGACAAAGTGATTCCAAGAAATATAATTAGAGTACTCCATAAATGTTTGCAATAGAAAAACAACCTATGGAGGCATGCAAAGACATTTGACCCTTCGGTAGAGTTGTGTATGGCTCCCACATCCTGCAGGGCTTGAGGAAAATACCTAAAAATTCCAAAGCGTAGGATTGCATAAGCGGTCTTATTTGTAAAAAATGCACAAAACACGCAAGACATACTTAAAACAGCTTTGGAAAATGAGGATTACGGGTAACTCACTGCACCTGTATTATATTTGGTTCATCAACTTTTGGTAGTACTATAGAAGAAATTCCGGAAGGGGTGTAATCATCATTCATGATAAAATACTGTTATATATATTTTGGACAACTTCATTCTAGACCAGGTATGTCAAAGTCGCGGCCCCAGAGAACTTCCAGTGCGGCCCCCGAAAGGCTAACAATAATTGTAATAGTATTTTGGAAGTTTTTTTTTTATCTAAATGTAATAGATTTTTCAAAACCTTTTAAAGTGAAATTGATTATTCACACAGAAAACAATTTACTGAAAGTAGTTTTGGAATATTAATTTTTTTTCGTCCACATTTTGACCTAATTAAGAATACACATCAAGCTAGCAAAAGAATACTTGAATTAAATTAAAGTACATGAAGAAGGTGGCATTTTCGAAGAAAATGGGAGTTGCAATATTTCTGCATTTCACTTCAGTTAATTCTAAAGCACATTGTTTAATTTGTCATATTTCCATCAATACAATGAAAAAACACAATAAGCTCAGCAGTCAATATGACAAATTCGAAGACCAACTTTGAACAAAAAATTTCCATGTGTTTGTGTATTAAAATAATTATACAACGACTCAGTTACTAAAAATCAATATCAATAATAAATCAAGCAATCCTATGCCACGCAATGTGGTGCGAAATGTCTTGTCGAAAAAATCTGTCATTTGTTTTTTTACTGATCTATATATGAAATGATAAAAGTAACTTTTTGGCATTACTGGAATTAATTAAATATTCGCAAAGATCCAGATTAACCCATGATCATGTGACCTCGTTAGTTAGAGTTGGTACTATAAAATTATTTCAGTCTGGCCTTAGTATGCTGGTGACACAAAAAAGATGCCAAACGTCAGGACAAATGTAATTAAAAAAACATTAAGTTTATACTGTAGTATTTTAGTTAATATTAGGTTCATATATTTAGATTAAGTCATTTTTAGTGTATGTAATATTCTTTTCTTATCCAAAGCTTGTTCAAAAATGATTTTGATGGTTGTACATTGAATTTTATGATTTTTTATAATAAATACAGTAACTTGCAAATGTTGCAATAATAGTGGAATGCAAATATTAATATGTAATTGCATTTGAAATTGAAGAAAATAATAAAACTTAATCCAACTGTTTATATGTGTCAACAATATATGTCACAAACTAAAACTATCTTAAAAATATCTTTCAAGTATACATTATCAAAAACTGTTTGCGGCCCTTTTTACAATTACCAAAATGCAATGCGACTCTCGAAAACCCATGAGTTTGACACCACTGATCTATTCTAAAAGATTCAAGCATTGCTTTGGGAAATAATATCACTTCAATAAAATTGAAAAAAATCTCGCTATATTAAATACAAAATCGTTGCTATCATAAAGGTAAACCAATTCAGCCACTCGAAATATATTGGGCTTCACAAAGCAATGGAGGCAAAATTGGGAGTTTATGAGCTATGAACATTTGTTCTTTTCTTTGTCTTGAACTTTTCATATTCCACAGCCTCTATTAATTTTTTTTAATTTTAATTACCATGTGATGGTCATACATATCTTTAACTTGTATTTTCTGTCATGATGTATTATCTCAATGTGTCAAACTATTAATTAGTGTGCATATTTTGCTTCCAGATGACATAAATGTATTGTCTTGTTTATTACCTCTGCTTGGAGTATGGACAAGAAAAAGGTGCCAGTAAATTAGGTAAAAAAAATTTTAACTCCTTGTTATAATCAGAATTCACAATTAATAGGAATTATAAACAGCCAACAATCAATGAGAATTATATGCAAAATCCCTCAGAATAAATTTGTCTAAAATCGGAGGAAGGCAAAACATATAAGTAGTTCCCATCCACACAAGCATTTCAAGAAGACTTGCTCGAGCCAAACTAAATGAGCATCGTCAGGTGATCGGTAAGGCTGCAAGTTGAATTCAGCCCTGCAACCTCCTGCATAGAAGATAATATTAATTAGTGGGCTATGAGCTAAATTCCTAAATTTAAACAAACCTATCTACGATGTATTATGTACCAGCAATGTTACCTACGATTAACGGAATATGTAATATGTCTAATAAATTCACCTATAAAAGCAAGTTCGATAGTGGCAAACTTTGTGTTATGGAATTGTATCACAGCACCGTTAAGAGAAGTAAAAACGTTTTTGCTGTTTTGTATGACACCCTCTTTGCATGAAACTTCAATGTTTAAGCGCAAACATTAAAATTACTAACTTTGAACTTTGTCAATATCTGCAAAATGTTCCACTCAAATCTTTCCGCTATCGCGTTTGTAATCTTCTCTGATAAAAAAACGTCTATGATGTCCAGAATTGCTTTTTACAGCTTGTCTGCCATTCCAGCTTTCCAAGTGAGCAAAACTTCTTAGATATAAAGATTATTTTCTTTCGTTACAGGCGCAAAAAGGCAGGTACTACACGGAAAAAAGACGCCGAGCAGCAAAAGCGAGCGGAAAACAGTCGCGAAAGGCGACGAGAAATATGTGCATTGGAGCGTATCATGAAATACAATCTTTCGCCTGTAGTCTTATGGAGTGACGTTACAGAGTTGCCTATCATGTTGTTTAATGTCATTGGTAGATTCGATTTTATTCATCCTGTCCCCGTAGATGGGGGTGACTTGGTCCCGCAGTAGCTTGCCCTGGTTGTCAAAATGACCACGCGCTGCCATTGAGGCCTATCCAACATAAAATAAGCGGAGGAAGTTCGTGGAACCACTTTCCTGTTAAAGCTTCATCTTGCATCAAATACCTACAAACTTTAGCATGCATCCCTCGACGTTATTACTCGGTATGATCTAAAATGTTCTGTCAAAAATTAACCCATAGGTAGGTCTATTTAGTGGAAGTCTGCTCTCGGTAAATGGATATAATATCAGAAAATGACCAAATAAAAAGCTTTTAATTTGAACAGATTTATGATATCCAGTGTATAGGTAGGGCATAGGCAATGTCGTTCATGTTAGCTATATAAGTGAGCTTATCATAGATTTAAAACAAAAAACAGGGATGTGGGAATCGGGCAAAGCTTGGTTCGATTCCGAGACGTGGTAATATCTGAAACATTTATTTTACCATTGCAGGTAGAAACAAGACATCAAAATCGCAAAATGATTTTATCTATGTTACTCGAACATCAGAAATTTTTGTGCATATTGACAACAAGACCAGCAGTCGTTCTCAAACTTTTTTGCTTGCGGCGCACTAAGAATATAAGAACAACGTTGCCGCACACTTGTAAAAAAATAAAGTTAGATTTAAGCAAATTTTTTCTGGAAATGTTCATGTGATAGGTGTGTTTTGAAGAATAAATAGAATTGAAACAACAATTTCAATTTATTTCTATGTAATGGAGTCCTGAAAAAATAAATAATCAGACTAAATGCTTTTTTGTTAGCCTGTATATATGCTCAGTGAGTTCAACCATTCAATGACAAAATGGGTAGCACTATAATGAGTTGACATCGTGTAATATCCGTCACGCGGCATACGAAGTTCTGATTACGGAAACCTGTATTACTAAATGTTTTCCTAATTTAATTAAAAAATTTAATGGAATGTCTCGAACGAAACGGAAACCATTTCAGGGCAATAGACTTTGCGCGTAGCAAAGTCGTGCAGTCATATACGAAGAATAGGTCAGAAAAATATGGATATAGAAAACGTCCATGAAACATTGTTGATTGAGAATAAAATAAAGCTTCACGGAATAAGATGGTTTGTGGGATTTGTGCTGTTCGTCTGTGGATTTCTTGTCATGTTTGCATGGCATTTCTTTGGAGTTATCAACGAAGTTTTGTCGGAATACTTCCAAGTTTCTGAAAGTACTATAGACTGGCTGACAATGTCCGCAGCTTTTGGAGAGATTTTTGGAGGACCAATCATTGGATTTCTATTTGTTCTGAGACCGACTGTCGTAAAAATGTGGTACATAGTTATGATCCTTACTACAGTATCAGCATTTGTCATATTTGCAATTGTGATATATATTAAGAAGTATCTCATTCTTTGCATGATCGCTGAATTTGCTGTCGGAACTATTACTATGGTGTTTTTTGCTCTGCTTCCTTTAACAGCAACAGTGTGGTTTGGGGAGAGAGAACAGGCGACTATCATGGGTATTGGCTGGCTTTCAATGATGATTGCGGTGTTAGTTGCCTCTATTGTACCAATGGCAATATTTTCTGAGAATGAGAATTCTGAAAATGAGATGGCACACCTGTCTTTACTCCTTGTCGGCATTGCAGCGGTTGGAATCATTTGCCTGGGATGTGTATGCCTATTCGTTCCTAACGCACCAAAGATTCCTCCTTCGTATGCTGAATTACAAAGACTGAAGATAGCCGAAGGTAATAATACCGGAACGTGTGCGACGGCATTATGGAGATTTGCAAAAGAAGTCAAATTCATTTTAGTGGATAGAGTAAGCGCAACTCTTTTTGTAATATTTGCCGTTGTTGACGCGATTTTTGTTGCAGAATATATGCTCGCACCAGCTAGTTCACGCATTTTAGAATATCAGAATATTACCGTCCAAGTGAGCCCCCACGAGACCTCCGAAAGCAGAGGCAATGTATTACTGTCATATTCCGTTGGTGGGTTGATAGGATGCGTAGGGATGGGTTTCTTAGCTGATAAGATGAAGGCATACAATCCACTCGCAAACATATTGGGCATTTCGATATGCGTTAGCGTAACAGCATCACTTCTCGGCTATATATATCGTGCCAAACTATGGAGTACACAAGCAACTTTTTGTATGGATTAACCACATTGGCGTTTTACCCATTTATACAAGAAATAATCAAGCAGCATGTTTACCCTTCAGTGCAAGAATCTACGCAAGGAATTTTCGTCGTGATGATCGGAAGCGTTTTATTCGTAGTAATTCCGTACGTGATGAGAATAGCGATGATGAAGTTTGCAAAAGTAGCTTTCTATGCAATTTCTGTCTCCATATTCATTATCATTGAAATGCTTATTATCAGCATTAAACCAACGATGAATAGATTTATGTACGATTCAAACAAAGAAAATTCGGCAGATAATGATTAAAACCATGACGAAGATTAACGGGCAGTTTTGAAACACTGACATTTCGAAATAGAATCGATATTTTGTTCTCAAAGAGATTTGAATAAAAACAATATCCAATTTTAGGCTATTTATTTGTGTTTGTTATCATAAATTGCAATATCATTATATTTTGTATGGGTTGTGTATCGCTAATATCATATATCGAATGAAAGCCACGAATTTTCCAAAGTAATAACCGGGCAGGAATCTAGAGAGCGATTCCCAAGTTATAATTAGTTTCGTATAAACAAATTCAAAAGCTGCAGGATAACATTCTTTGTTGAGTAAAATAACAAGAATTAAGCTATTACGTTTTTATTAATGCTTGCGTTAAAATGAGTATAAATCACTCACGTACACGAGTGGGTCGGTCGCTCTGGGCGTCTGATTTTGAATGGACCAATAGTGTATGAGAAGTTATTGGACACGTAGTGGACATATGAGGCATTTGGTTATTATGTTGTTGTTCTTTTTCATGTTATTTTTCGGCGCTCCAGAAGTATATATGTGTATTAATATGGAGGTAACTAATTTTGTCTGCCTGTTTTACATCAAGTTGTGGTAAAGAGACTGAAACCCATGGTTGTATATTCACTTGGCTAACACAGACAGTCCCGGAACTCGTAATAGAACTTAAATAAGGAAAATCGGGATAAAACTATGCCATAACCTGGTACACATACTACAGGAGTACCTATTTTTCTTCATATTGTTACGGAAAAATGCTTTTCTTTCTAATTACTGAACCAATGGCTTTGAAATTTTCTGTCGTTGAAGATTGGGGAATGGTAGACTGCGGAACCCCATCTAGTAATACCAAAGTGACTCGGATCACTTGGTCTTTCCATTAACGTTGAAACTGGATTATAAAGAATGGATCATCGTCACGGGACCTATAGAAAAACTATGACATACAAACTATGACGATTATTCGCTGTTTAAGTTTGCAGATGTTAGTGTAACCTTTGGTTAGAATTGTAGTACTATAGCCTGATACTTTCGATGGTTCCCGTACATTTGAACCCACGTACATTCGAACCCACGACAATTGCACCTGCATACCATTGTACCTATAGTATTTTTTTGGTTTTACGGATATTTGAACCCATACTAACCCTAACCCATGGGTTTTGGCATCCGCATATAGATTGAACCCGCCGATATACACATGGGTTTAAATGTACGTGTGTTCAAATGCACGGTCACCACCTTCGATACTACCGTACTATCATCCAACGAATTATAACTTCATTATTATTACTGAATTGGATTTTGTCCAAATTACCACCTTTCAGTCAATCTTTTACACGATACCGTTTATTTAACCTCTATCAAGATGAGTAGCGATTTCCAAAACCAGCTACTAGCCGCTGTCCCATCAATCCAGGACACACAAAAAAGCTGCTGGAACGATCAGACAAACAGTCAGCCACGGAAAATCATGATACCAGATCTGAAAATATCATACCAGCATGATTTAGCCCAGATCTCCTTTAAGATCGAGGAGGTTTTAAAGAGGCTTGAGATGTGCGAAAAACAGCAGGATTACTCAGAACAGTACAGAAACGGTATCATTTTTTATGGCTGCAAATCCTTGCCAGAAACGAAAAGTTTGAAGACTTTGTTGTAAAAATTCTAAACGGCAAGTTAAAGCTCAACTACCCGATTGTCAAACTAGATGTCGATATCGAAGCATAAAGTGTCAACAATGAATGGGACTATATACGCGTACCTGGATAGAAAACGAGTAATTTCCTGTTTAAACGATATTAAGATTCTCTCTCGCCCCTGTACTCCAGGGCTGCTGCTAATCAAAGGATTCAACAAATAGGCTCACTGAAGCACCCTGGTCCTTTGGGTAGAGTGGTGGCCTACAGGAGTGAGGAGGAATATATACTAACCTCCAAATTTAATTTTCTCGGTTGAATAGGCCAGTGCTTATCTAACTTGAAGTTTTACATCTTTGTCTGGACATTTTTTGCCGCAACCATAAAACATAATATGTTGAAATACTCATGTAGAAAGTGCCACAAATCAGTCCGAGCTATAAACCACACACTTCTAGCAGATGGAAATGGGGAGTCTATTAGAGCAGAAGTTTATTCAGCGTTTTTAAAACGCTGCAAGTCTTTTTGTTATCCCTTTTATATATATGATTGTGTCGAATTTAGTGACTATTTAATATTGAGTGACATCCTGTATTTTATTTTTTAAACTTTGTTGTTCCTTTTTGTGATTGAGTCTAATTAAGTGAATGTTTAGGTAAATTTTCGTGGTCATTGTGGCATTCTTTTTGTTGTCTCTTTTATATTTATATATATGATTGTGTCGAATTTAGTGACTATTTAATATTGAGTTGTTCGGTTGCTATATTTGCTGCTTCAATGCAGCTACAAGGTGTCGCTGACTGGATGACTCTTTGAGTCTTTCGCGATCCCTCGTCTATTGCAACAAGCCGATATCCGTCTTCGTAATTTGTTATATGTCTTTTTTTATTTTTTCATATCGTATATTGGTTTTGCATGACGAAAATAAAATCTGAATCTGAAACACAAGGCCAGAAAATTGCAAACTTGGATCATATGATGGTGGCGAGCGAAATATATAAACACCAGGTTTCAGAACTTTAAAAATAATATAAACTTAGCAATGATAGCATCCCTTAGCAATGCCCACATAGGCATTAGGATTAAATATAAGAAGATGTTTTCTGCGCGTTTCCACAAAGCAAAAATACCTAAATTTAAGATCTCGCAAATTTGTGAATATATCCAAACAGCTAGATTTACAGCATATTGAAATCATGATTTTTGCCAAGTATTTTCAAGGTGTGTTCCGCAGTAGATTAATGTAGCGCAGATGATTTCAAAATAACTGAACCAAACAAAATTTGGAGTTATGACAACTATTACGAACTCTAGAGTCTGGACGGTTCGAATTTCGAAATAGCAAAAAGAATATCTAATATTGAATAATTAATTCGGAAAGACAAACCGAAAAAGAATAATTTTTTTTCTTAAAAAGATTTAACAGTGTTTTATATTTGAGTGGCGAATAAAGACAAACATTCCACGCATTCTGAAACAACATCCTGGAGATGGGCTACGTTTTTAAGGAACTGACTTGTGATTCAATTTTATATGCGTAATTCAACTAAAAAAAGAGTGACTTTTGTAGCCAATTTAAACTAAGTAGCTAGCTATCAATTCATCGGGCAAACTGAGCACTATGAGGCACTATTGTTTCAGTAAGACTATAGATGCAGTTCAACTAATCAATGACAAAATTTTAAAATCGATGGCACTTTAAAGGTGTCGACATTGCGTAATATTCATTACAGACATACAAGTTTTTGTTTATAGATTCTTATAGAACTCCTAATTCAATAAAAACATTTGATTGAATGGCTCGCGCGGAAGGGTTAAGGCAATAGACTTCGCGCGCAGCATATTTTTGCAGTCACCAACGAACAATATCTCAGAATCCGTCAGAAAACTATGGATATAGTAAACGTCCATGCAGCACTATTGACTGAGAATAAAATAAAGCTCCATGGAATTAGATGGTTTGTGGGATTTCTGCTGATTGTCTGTGGATTTCTTGTCATGTTTGCATGGCATTTTTTTGGAGTTATCAACGAAGTTTTGTCGGAATACTTCCAAGTTTCAGAAAGTACTACAGACTGGCTGACAATGTCTGCAGCTATTGGAGGGATTTTTGGAGGACCAATCATTGGATTCCTATTTGTTCTGAGACCGACTGTCGTGAAAATGTGGTACATAGTTATGATCCTTATTACAGTATCAGCATTTGTCATATTTGCAATTGTGATATATATTAAGAAGTATCTCATTCTTTGTATGATCGCTGAATTTGCTGTCGGAACTATTACCATGGTGTTTTTTGCTTTGCTGCCTTTAACGGCAACAGTATGGTTTGGGGAGAGAGAACAGGCGACTGTTTTAGGTATTGGCTGGCTCTCAATGATGATTGCGGTGCTGGTTGCCTCCTTCGTACCAATGGCAATATTTACTGAGAATGAGAATATTGAAAAAGAGATGACACACTTGTCGTTACTCCTTCTCAGCTTTGCAGCGGTTGGAATCATTTGCCTGGGATGTGTATGCCTATTCGTTCCTAACGCACCAAAGATACCTCCTTCGTATGCCGAACTACAAAGGCTGAAGATAGCCGCCGGTAATAATAACGAAACGTGTGCAACGGCATTATGGAGATTTGCAAAAGAAGTCAAACTCATTCTTGTGGATAGAGTTAGCGCAACTCTTTTTGTAATATTTGCCGTAGTCGACGCGATTTTTGTTGCAGAATATATGCTCGCACCAGCTAGTTCACGCATTTTGGAGTATCAGAATAGTACTAACCCTGTAAGCCCCCACGAGACCTCCGAAAGCAGAGGCAATGTATTATTGTCATATTCCGCTGGTGGGTTGATAGGATGCGTAGGGATGGGTTTCTTAGCTGATAAAATGAAGGCGTACAATCCAATTGCAAACATATTGGGTATTTCGATGTGCGTCAGCGTAACCGCATCACTTCTCGGCTATATATATCGTGTCAAACCACTGGAGTACACAAGCAACTTTTTGTACGGATTAATCACATTGGCGTTTTACCCATTTATGCAAGAAATAATCAAGCAACAGGTTTACCCTTCAGTGCAAGAATCTACACAAGGAATTTTTGTTGCGTTTATCGGAGGCGTTTTATGCGTAGTAATTCCGTACCTAATGAGAACAGCGATGATTAAGTTTGCAAAAGTCGCTTTCTATGCAATTTCTGTCTCCATATTCGTCATCATTGAAATTCTTATCATCAGCATCAAACCAACGATGAAAAGATTTATATACGATTCAAATGAAGCAAATGCAGCAGATAATGAACAAAGCCATGACGAAGATGCAGATTAAAACTGGGCATTTTTGAAACACTGGCATTTCGAAATGGAATCGAAATTTCGTCCTCAAAGAGATCAGAATAAAAACAATATCAAGTTTTATGCTATTTATTTATGTTTGTTAACAGAAAAAACTATATCATCATGTTTTGTAGGAAAGACCAAGGGAAGCGCATAGGTAGATATATTCTATAGAATATCTATCTCTTCGGTGCTTTAGTGTGGGTTGTGTATTGTTAATATCATGTCTAGGATGAAAGTCACGAGTTTAGCTTGAATCGTTTTTTTTGTCACGCTTGGTTTTTTATCACGACACATTTTCCAAGGTAATATCCGGGCAGGCATTCAGAGAGCAATTCCCCCATTTGTAATCGGTTTCGTATATGTAAACAATGTCAACAGCTGCACGATAACGGACGTTGATGAGTCAAACAACAAGAATTAAGCTATTACGTTTTTATTGATGCTTCGCGTTGAAATAATTATAAATCCCCTACGTAAACGAGTGGGTCGGTCTCTCTGGTCGTCTGAATTTTATTAGCCCAATTGTGTATGAGAATTTATTTTATTGATCTTTTATACAATTTAATTTTGGGCGCTCAATTATGTCGTTTTTATGAGCTAAATTGTCATTAAATGCTTCGATTGAGTTATAGTTGGTTACAATAGGCGCGGCATCCCGACAATAGCTCGGTCCAAATTATTAAAGCTGCTTGTAAATTAACGCCAGTTATAGAGAACCGTAACAAAAACACCACGTATATGTATATATAACTTTTATTATATATTCTGCAAAATAAGATTCCTTTGGCCTTCACTCAAGAACAACTTTATATTTTACTTAAGCAAGAGAAGACACGCACCATCTCAAACAAAAACTAGGCGCATGCACATAGCTTTTTTTAGTTTTTCTTCTAGTGTCAATAAAACATTATTGCCCCTCGTCTTTTTACGCCTTCATTTAGCATTTTGATAATTTATCGTCAGTGTAGTTAATGTTTGTTGTTAAATTTTCGCAATCAACATAAAATACCCATGACATAACAATATAGCACTTTTCTCTCTCCCCCTCTCTGAAGTGGTGAAGTGTGTCGTGAATCAGGGATAAATTCAAAGTTTTCCTGACTATCATGCTGCATGACCGGGACATTAGAGCCTATTGTCCCAGCTAAACCGGGATGTATATATATATTAAAATCCGGCCCGCGACGCTCCACTGAATTATGATAACAAAACAGCTGTTTTGACGATTATATTCCTTACGTAACAGCATTTATTATAAGACATGTGTAGACTAAATTATATTATAAACTACATGTATATAATTCACAACTACTCGTTTAATGAGCCTATAATTAGACAAATGGCAACAAAACGCAGAAAAGTTGATGCTGAAAAGGTGCAAAGGGGTCAATGGCGACGAAATATTCAAATGGGTTTTTTGAGATGCAATGCAACGAGGAAATAAAGCTATATTCTATTCAAGAGATGTATCACTGCTTGTTTTTATTATAAAAAGTATTATCCGTTCAGTTTTCAACTTTCTAGAAATATATGCGGCCCTCCAATGACTTGCAACCCTCAATTTCGGCCCACGAGCGACAAAAGGTTGCCGACCCCTGCTGTAAGCCAAAGATGTTTACGTACAAGGATTTCCCAAAAATTGTACTGAAGCTCGTCCTATCTAACGCATCTTGGAGACGGTTATGGTCGCTGTGGCTAAGTTGACGTTTCGAAAACGCATACAATCGCTTTGTATGGTCTTCATCCACACGTTCGTTCCGAACTAGGCCCTGCACAGGCAACTACCAAAAATGTCAGGGTGTCCATGTACTCAGAGCTAGGCTCAGTAGAAATCACAACCCAAGATGTTCAAGGCATTGGATGTGAACTAAGCTCTGTACAGGGAACAATTAAAAGTATGGTGATGTTTTTGGACAGGGCGAGACATAATATCTCCCGCGTTTCATTTCGAAATGATAGACAAAAATAGCCTTTAGGTATATTTTTATTACATACATAACAAGGCGGTGGTTGTCATTTTGCGTGATTTACTTTTCGAAAACAAAGTGTTCCAGATGACCCGATACAGCTATAATACTTATTGCAAGCATATCATGAATATTTTTAGCATTCTTCGAGTCATTTCTGTAGAAAATGGCAGCTTTAGTGATTGTTAGACGGTGCCTTTTTTTAAAAAAAAAGGATGGACCCCAAACTCCAAAACTTGCAACTGCACACCACACTGTTACTCGCTCACTATGATGACCACACCTTTTATGAGGCTCTCTAAGATTGCTTTCTGCCCAGTACCGAAAAGTTTGCTTATTGACAAAACCAGATAAAGTAAAGTGAGCTTCGTCACTGATGAGCATAATATCATTAGCTGAGATTTTCTCAATTCCACAATAAATGCAATAAATAGCCTGATTGAGAATAAAATAGAGCTTCATGGAATTAGATGGTTTGTGCTGTTTGTCGGTGGATTTCTTGTCATGTTTGCATGGCATTTCTTTGGGGTCGTCAAGAAATTTTTGTCGGAATACTTCCAAGTTTCAGATAGTACTAAAGCAGGGTGGTCCAAGGTTGTGGGCTCCGCGGGCCACAAAATTTTTTTGGCATCGGCCGCGGGCCACAATAGTACCAAGAATAGGTAAATAGTGCAATACAAAACAACCATTTTTATTGTGTAAACACATAGTTATCAGGCGTTGCCAACCTAGGCTAATGGATTCCGCATTCGATATTTTAGTTTTCTATTATGCTTATATTGTTAGCATATATTCCCGATCCAAACGATAGAAATCCAGGTAACAATTTAGACTGCCCATTGCCCATCACATCATTCAACTTCGCTAGTTGCTTCAGCTAGCCATCATACTAGTCAATTCAGTCACAATAGTGATATAACAACAATATGTCAAACGATTTTTCTGATTTATTTTATGAGAAGAAATTTAAATACGATATTTTGATTACTCTCCGAATGCGCGCGGGCCACTGATAATGAAGGGGCGGGCCACATTTGGCCCGCGGGCCTGAGTTCAAACGACCCCGTACTAAAGACTGGCCAAATAGCCATATTCAAGCATCAAAGATTTTTATGAAATTCATAATAAATCACTTGGTATTTAAATCTCTGAAGGAACTGAAGACAAAATGACAGTCCATTAATTAACAATATAAATATACTTAAACTAATTGAATAACTGCAACAGCATTTGTATGGTAGGAATTTAAAATGTGGAAGGTTTTTTTCCCGTCGCCCTGACAAACTAAAACATACAAGTAGGATAACCATTGAAAATATGATCAAATTCTTGGCCACCGAATGTTGCCGGTGAATCACACCAATATGGATCCAATATCCAATATGGATTCATTCCAGCCCCGAATTCTGATTCGCAACTAATGTGCTTTCTGTGTAATAAAACGTTTCCTAATGAAGCCATGCAACCGTCCAGACTTTTTTAGTATTTTACAAAAATTCATCTGGATGAAGCAGACAAAAATGAAACATTTTTTCAGAAACTCTGGAATAATTCAAAGTAGATAAAAACCAATGGAATTTTTTTTCCAAATTTACCCCGGAAAACCTTGGCAAAAAGGCAAACCGCATACGATTGGTGAAGAATTGATTCTACCAACAGTAAAGGAAGTTTTGGAAACAGTTTTGCATTACAAGGCGCAATCTACAATTATCAAGTCTATTCCATTAAGCAATAATACAGTACACAGACGGGTTAATGAGATGGCATCTGATATAGAAGGTTCAGTCTTTAATTAACTAGACAAGTCCACATTGCCAGGAAATGAGTCATTGCTACTTGGATATGTTCGGTTAGTGCACGATGGAGTCCTACACAAAAAGCTAGCAATGGCTTTATCGCTGGAATCAGACACTCGAGGCAAAACAGTGTTTCGCATGGTCAAAAAGCATTTTGAAAATAAAGAAATTCCTCTGACGAATATCATAGCCGCAATGGTATGACATAGCATATGTAACTGAGCTATTATTGGTTGTTACCGTGGCATCATTACACTTTCTAAAGAAGAAAATCAAAATATGCTGACGATTCGCTGTGTGATTCACCGGCAACATTCGGTGGCCAAGAATTTGAGTGATTGTCTTAGTTTTTTTTTGAAGATAGGCAGGTCATCAAGGCAGTAAATAAACTAAAGGCCCATGAAAAACCACGATAATCGCTAGTAACTATTGGTATAAAGTTAATTCAGATCGGCCGGGTGTTCAAAGATTTATTTTTCAATAATAATCATATTTTCAATGGTTATCCTACTTGTATGTTTTAGTTTGTCAGGGCGACGGGAAAAAAACCTTCCACATTTTAAATTCCTACCATACAAATGCTGTTGCAGTTATTCAATTAGTTTAAGTATATTTATATTGTTAATTAATGGACTGTACTATATTGCCTACTACGCTTCGGTAAACTCATGCTGGTGCTTTGAAATTAAGGTTAATTAATATACTGTTCTAATCTAAATCAGTTAAATATGCTGCTTAGTTCACTGTCTTCGAAATTAATAACTTTCAATAATATATCCACAAATTTATTTACCAGATTTTAATTGATCATGAGAAATTATATCTACTTAAACTCTAACTCCAAATCCATCAAAACTGTATTAATAAGAAAACATTCCAACTTACCCAATATTTGTCACCATGAGGGACAGCACACCAAAGTTACCCTAGCAGACATCTCTCAGCAGACATCTCTCTCGTTTTTGAACGTGCCGATCACCGTTGCCAGAACTCAGATTTCAATTGAGCGATGCGAGAGTTTACGAAAAAGGCATCGATGCAATATCAGCTGATGCTTTATGCGTTGCCAGATTAATCATAAAAACTGTAAATAATTGCCAAAAAAGCACAGTTCTCCCCCAAATATAAGCGTCTCATAAATAAATCCGCTTAGTATAAGAAAGATAAGTATAAGTGCTTATAATAGGAAGTAAACACAACGAGTTTAACAAATATTGTATAGGTGGAAGAGATACCCATTATCGTTTAAACCTGTCCCAGTCATCAATTTTTAATAAAATTAATAAGAAGACCTATTTTGCCCCAAAAAAGATGTGTCTTACAGTCATTGTCCTCTCCATTTATACATAAACAGCAGTGGTACATTTAATAAAGTGTTTATACAACGAGTTTCAAAAAGATTGTATGGGGGGGAACATATTTTTATAATCGCTTAAACATGGCCCGATAGTCAATTTTTGATAAAAAAAGGGCAAAAAGACCTAGTTTTCCCCAAAAAATGAGTGTCTTGCAATTACGGGCCCCTCATTTACACAAGACCAGTAGTAGTACATATAATAAAGTGTTAATACAGCGAGTTTGTAAAAGTTTGTATAGGGGGAAAATATTTTTATAATGGCCCAACCATGGACCGATAATCAATTTTTGATAGAAATGGCAAAAAGACCAATTTTGCCCTAAAGAATGAGTGTCTTGCAGTTATGGGCCCCACATTTACACAGGACCAGCAGTAGGACATATAACAAAGTGTTTATACAGCGAGTTTGAAAAAGTTTGTATGGGGGGAAGATATTTTTATTATCGCATAAACATGGCCCGATAGTCAATTTATGAGAAAAATGGCAAAAAGACCTCTTTTGCCCAAAAAAATGAGTGTCTTGCAGTTATGGGCCCCACATTTACAAAACACCAGTAGTAGTACATATAATAAAGTGTTAATACAGCAAGTTTGAAAAAGTTTGTATGGGGGGAAGATATTTTTATAATCACTTAAACATGGCCCGATAGTCAATTTTTGATAAAAAATGGCAAAAAAACCTAGTTTTCCCCAAAAAATGAGTGTCTTGCAATTACGGGCCCCTCATTTACACAAGATCAGTAGTAGTACATATAACAAAGTGTTAATACAGCGAGTTTAAAAAAGTTTGTATGGGGGGAAAATATTTTTATAATGGCCCAAACATGGACCGATAATCAATTTTTGATAGAAATGGCAAAAAGACCAATTTTGCCCTAAAGAATGAGTGTCTTGCAGTTATGGGCCCCACATTTACACAGGACCAGCAGTAGTACATATAACAAAGTGTTTATACAGCGAGTTTGAAAAAGTTTGTATGGGGGGAAGATATTTTTATTATTGCATAAACATGGCCCGATAGTCAATTTATGAGAAAAATGGCAAAAAGACCTCTTTTGCCCAAAAAAATGAGTGTCTTGCAGTTATGGGCCCCACATTTACAAAACACCAGTAGTAGTACATATAATAAAGTGTTAATACAGCAAGTTTGAAAAAGTTTGTATGGGGGAAAATATTTTTATAATGGCCCAAACATGGCCCGATAATCAATTTTTGATAGAAATGGCAAAAAGACCTATTTTGCCCTAAAGAATGAGTGTCTTGCAGTTATGGGCCCCTCATTTACACAAGACCAGCAGTAGTACATATAATAAAGTGTTTATACAGCGAGTTTGAAAAAGTTTGTATGGGGGGAACATATTTTTATAATGGCTTAAACATGGCCCGATAATCACTTTTTGATAGAAATGGCAAAAAGACCTATTTTGCCCCAAAAAATGAGTATTTTGCAGTTGTGGGCCCCTCATTTACACAAGACCAGCAGGAGTACATATAATAAAGTGTTAATACAGCGAGTTTGAAAAAGTTTGTATGGGGGGAAGATACTTTAATTATCGTTTAAACATGGCCCGCTAGTCAATTGATGATAGAAATGGCAAAAAGACCTACTTTGCCCCCAAAAATGAGTAGTTTACAAATACGGGCCCATCATTTACACAAGACCAGCAGTAGTACATATAATAAAGTGTTAATACAGCGAGTTTGAAAAAGTTTGTATGGGGGGAAGATACTTTAATTATCGTTTAAACATGGCCCGCTATTCAATTAATGATAGAAATGGTAAAAAAAACTAATTTGTCTCAAAAAATGAGTATCTCACAATTACGGGCCCCTCATTTACACAAGACCAGCAGTAGTACATATAGTAAAGTGTTAATACAGCGAGTTTGAAAAAGTTTGTATGGGGGGAAGATATTTTTATAATCGCTTAAACATGGCCCGCTAGTCAAATAATGATAGAAATAGCAAAAAGACCTCTTTGCTTCAAAAAATGAGTGTCTTGCAATTACGGGCCCCACATCTACGCAAGACCAGCAGTAGTACATATAATAAAGAGTTAATACAGCAAGTTTGAAAAATTTGTATGGGGGGAAGATATTTTGATAATCGCTTAAACATGGCCCGCTAGTCAATTTACGATAGAAATGGCAAAATGACATAGTTCGCCCCTAAAACAAATGTCTTATAATCAGGGTCCCCCATTTACACTTTGGGTAGTAGACACACTTATTGCATTGGATAATTAGTTGGTCTTAGTAGTAAGCCACCACACCACGTCAAGGTGCCAACTATCGTGGTGGTTTTCATCTTAAAACTGGCGACGATCGAGAGAGAAGACCGATAATTTTGGCATATATTGCAAAAGGTAAAATGTCTGATCATTTGTGTGTCCATCAAGCCGATGAATCTGAAAAATAATTGGAGTTAGGCATATGGTGAATATATAACGAAAAAATTTAGCATCGATTGCACTTCTCGCAATGCCATTCAATTTTGCAATCTTCCAGTGCCTCAGTTGGCACAGGAGTATTGCAACATTCCGGGTGGTACCATTCCAATATATCTTTTTAGCTTGTATATAATTTGTATTTCATTGTTTTATATTTTTCCTTCCTGCAAGTTACAAAATAAATGACGGTAATCGATGTCCTTTATTGAGACTTTCCATAGTTGGCAACCCTACCTGGGATGTGGATGCTTTTTCGTTCCTAACGCACCAAAGATTCCTTCTTTGTATGCTTAACTAGGAAAACTAAAGATAGCCGAAAGTAATAATACCGGAACGTGTGCAACGGCATTATGGAGATTTGCAAAAAAAGTCAAATTCATTTTAGTGGATAAAGTACGCGCAACTCTTTTTTCTAATATTTGCCGCAGTTGACCCGATTTTTGTTGCAGAATATATCCTCGCACTGACTAATTCACGCATTTTCGAGTAGCAAAATAGTACCGTCCTCGAGACTTCCGAAAGCAGAGGCAATGTATTATTGTCATATTCCGCTGGTAGGATGCGTAGGAATAGGAATTCTTTGCTGATAAAATGATCGCGTACAATCCACACGCAAACATATTGGGTATTTCGGTGTGCGTCAGCGTAATAGTATCACTTCTACAAATATATATCGTGTCAAACCACGATGAATAGATTTATATATGATTCGAACGAAGCGAATTTAACAGATAATGAACAAATCCATGACGAGGATGCAGATTAAGACTGGGCATTTTTGAAACACTGGCATTTTAAAATCAAATCGAAATTTTGTTTTAGATGGGATCAGAATAAAACAAAATTCAGTCTTTTTCTATTTATCTATGATTGTTAACAGAAATCACAATATTATTATATATATATATTTTGTGTCGGTTGTGTATTGTTAATATCTTATATCGAATGAAAGTCACAAGCACGAGCACAAATCAATTTATTCTGTCACGCTAATTGGACCTCCCGAAGCATGCGGTTGTGTACCAGGTTAAGCGACATCTTGGTGCGCATACTTCAGGAGTACCCGCTAATTTTTATCACTCGACGCATTTTCCAGGGTAATATCCGTAAGGCATCCAGAGCGCAATCCCTTATTTGTAATTAGTTTTGTATATGCAGCAGGATAACATACGTTAAATAGTTAGGTAACAAGAATTAAGATATTACATTTTCATTAATGATTCGGGTTAAAATAATTATCACTCGCGTAAATGAGTGGGTCGGTCGCTCTGATCTCTTGTCTCGTCTGATTTTTAATAGACCTATTGTGTATGAGAAGTTATTCTATCGATCTTTTATACAATTTACCTGTGGGCGCTTTGTCCGATGAGCTAAATTGCCATTAAATGATTTGTTTGAATTATACTTGGTTACAATAGGCACGGCAGCCAGACAGTAGCTCGGTACAAATTATTAAAAGTTGCTTGTGAATCAATGCCAGTAACAAGTTTGAATTTTGTCAAAAACACTACGTATGTCGTATATGTATGACCTATGTTACTCATTTTGCAAAATACGATTCGGCTTTGCCTTTCACTGAAAAACAACTTTATTATTTTATAGTATATTTAAGCAAGAAAAGACACGCACCATTGACAAACAGAAACTAGACGCATGCACATAAATCACACACTGCTAACAGATGAAAGTGGCAAAGCTAATTTAGCAGAAATTTATTTAGCGATTCTAAAACATTGCAAGTCTCAATGAAACTTAGGTCCAAAAAACGCGAACACGGATAATATAGTTAAAACTTTTGATGGTGGCGAGCGAAATATATAAACACCAGGCTCCAAAATATCTGAACACTATAAATGAATATAAACTTAGTATCTATCCCTTACCAATGCTTACCATTCGGATTACGTATAAGAGAATTGTTTTCTGCGGGTTTTCACATAGCATTTAAAGCAAAAATACCTAAACTTAAGATCTCTGTAATTTAAAATTATATCAAAATAGATAGATTCACAGCAAATTGAAATCATGATTTTTGACAAATTTTTCGAAGGTGTGTTGCACAGCAGATTAATGTTTTCAAAATGACTGGACCAAACAAATTTGCGAAAATGACAAACAGACGGTTCCAATTCCAAAATGCCAAGAGGAATATCTAATATTGAAGAATAAATTCGAAGGACAAACTGAAACAGAATAATTTTTTGTCTTAAAAAGATTTAACAGTGTTTTATAAATTGAGTGGTGAGTAAAGACAAACATTCCACGCGGTCTGCAACAATACAAACATTCAAAAATACCACTATTAAATTGCACTAAAGTTGAGTAAAGCTATACCAAATAATACGATAGCACCAAGTCCTTGCCACTATAACATTTTTAAGCCACTGCAACTGCAAACCTTGAATACAAAGAAAAATAGTAAAGGAACATTTTCATTCTAATAAAAAACAAAATGATAAAATAAATTCCTGAGTAATTCATTGATGTTGTGTGTGCCTTTTTTGTTTGTAGAGTGAATATATTACACACAGTGACATCGACCGAAGCTAATAAGTTTTGCAGTTCGATTTCACATTACTACAGGGTAAAAGAGCCACTAACACATTCCTTCAGTTGCGAGATGCATAGTTAACCCAGCCGAAAGATCGAATTCCAATCTATGACAAGCGTAGAACATCTTAAAACTCAATACAATTTTTTGTTTGTTGTGATGATTAATTTTCCAAACATATAATAAATTGAATTTTCTTCAGATTTAATTTCATATGAAAAATGGAATACAAACATCATGACAGCTTTAGTAACTCAGTCGACCTGTGCTTCAACATTTTTAACAGTTAAGCCGGTTTTGGGTGAATGCTAAGCTTTGAAAAGCATTGTAATCTCATAAGTCGAAGAATTGAATAATCTAGGAGAATCAAACGTAATAAGTAAAACATATGCAATATAGTAAAGGGCAACAAAACATTCAGTGAACACTCACTACAGTAATATAATGTATAAATACTATTATGATTTGCCATCACTTCGGCCAAAATAAAAAAAAGTAACACGTTATGTTAAATAAGAGATATACATTCGGAAAAGATGCTAAAATCTACCAAAACTGCAGCCAACAAGAGCAAATAAATAATCGATTCAATTTTAAGTCTTTTAACCCCTGGTTGGCACGAAAAGTCTCCAGTAGATCCCGATGAATGAATCATACGATAATAAAATAGTTGAGTATTTAAGTATTTGTGAATACAGTGTATGATAGGGTTAAGGATAAGAATGCAAATTATTTGGCATTATTTCTAACAATAAATATCAGCGCAAATTGAAGCAAATTTACTGTTTTACCTTCTTTTAAACTAAAACCTCCAAAATTAAATTTGACGATAATGCGACGCAAAGGAGCTTATGAGATTCTGAATGGGTGAGCTTATAGCATACGGTATGTGATGCCATACGTGTTTGAATTTGGCTAATATGACTCATGTACGGGATTCGAATAGATAAAGAATGGTTAGTAACAGTGACATAATACTATTGTGTAGCGCAATTTTGTCCTATATTCTCGGCGTATCGATTTGAAAGTGTTGAACGAAGTTCGTCAATATCGCGACGTAGTTTCCGGACGTCAGTTAATCTCTTAGTCATTTGTTCCACGGTAAGACTCGCGCCTGCGTCACGTTCGTCCATTTCTTCTTCAGTTAAACCGACCGACGATGGACGGACGCCCAATAACGCTGATAAGTTAGGGTCATCCCCTCTGGACGTTTGAAGTAAAACTTGCGTAACTGCTTCCAAATCCCGAACAGCAATTTGGGTTTCGCGTTGAAGGCGGGATGCCACCCGAGCAGCATCGCGAGAAGAAGACCGCTCACTTTCGAGAGTACGAAGTTGCTCCAGAAAAGACATTTTTTCTTCCATAAGCTGCTGGTTTTGGGAAGCTAATTTCGTCATGGCAGACTGTACTTTGGACGACGTATGTTGTTTGGCACTCAATTCACGTTTTAAAGTTTGTGTTGCATTCTCCTCTTGCTCAATACGTTCTTCTAGTTTCGCTATATCTGATCGGTGCTGTGTTGTCAAACTTTTGATCCGCATGTCTGCGGCAGCCAGAAGTTTCGCCGCGTCTTCTCGGTCGCGATGCATTTGATCGAGTTCGCGTCTTGTGTCATCGAATTCTCGTCTCTCGGTGACGCCGAGTTCTTCTTGACTATTTTCAAATTCAGTAATCTTTTTGGAAAGTGCCTCTATCTCTTCTTCTAGAAGAGCGTTCTTTTCTGTCTCTATTCTCAAACATTCTTCTTTTTCCCGCATTATTGCGTTTGCTTCGTCGTACTTATTTCGGATATGATCCAAATCTCCGGCTAATTTTTCTTTGTCGTTAGACAAATAATCCATGGTTCGTTTTATTTCTTTGCTTTCTTCCATTGTAGGAAGATCCCCCAAATATCTTTCCAGACTTTCTACGCGCCTTTTATACTTTTCTATCCTATCTGATAATGATTTGTGCTTCCTTTTCATTTCTGAAATAGTTTTATCGCGCGTTCGAAGACAAAATTCAAGTTCTTTTACTTTGTCTTCAAGAATTCTTTTCTCCCTGGCGTTCTGGCTTTTCGTTTCTGCTAACTGGCATTCCGTTTTTCCCAATAAGCTCTGAAGGTCATTCACGTTTTTCTCTTGTTGCGAAAAACTTTCAGCTAAACGAACTCGCATTTTAGCCGCTTCATATTCCGTTTCACTCTGAGAAAGGTCTCCGTTTTGAGAGCATGTGTCTATCGCTAATGAGCTCATAGATCGAGTTATATTGTTCTGTTTGTTTTGCATTACTTGACGCAACGTCGCATTACTGTCTTTTACTTGGTGTTGAAGCGACGAAACTTGCAGTCGTAATTTCACGATAGCTGATTCTTTTTCTTCCAAAAGCGCGTCTTTCACAGACAGAAGAGAATGAAACTTTGACGATGTGTTTGTAGAATTCGCTATTGACGGCGGTAGTCTGCTTGACTGGGAAGAGTAACCATTTCCAATGCTTTGTGAAGTCAAGGAAGATAAATGTTGTCTTTGAGCAGATTCAGTCGCAGATACACGGTTAAATGACAAATAGTCTCTGGCCGATGACACACCGCCCGACCCCGATCCATAAGTACTGTTAGAAGATGAAAAAACTTGCCTGGGGGTCTGTCTATCAGAATGGTCAGAATCAGCGCTGCTATAACTTCCGTGTATTTGATCTATAGATTTCTTCAAGTGCATATGCGTAAGGTCCGTAAATCTCATGTTCATTGCGTCTTCAGACGACACTGAGGAGGTAGTAGATGACGAAGACGAACCCACGTATTGAGGTACATTAAACTGCCTTAGGTGCCTTGGTCCCAAATCCGTTATATCTCTGGAAGAGCGAAGCGTCAGCTCGCGCGACGACGGTTCGGGAAGTGAATTGTAAACGCTTGTCAGCGAACTGGTATCGACTGTTGTGGGCAACAATGTTGCCGATCTTCTCTCGTCGCTCTCTCGTCCCATAATCGTCGCTCCATTGACTGCCATCGAACCATGTGATCCAGTAGAAATTAGATCCGCCTGGTTGTTATTTCGGCGTCTTTTCTATCAAAAGATATTAAAGTTACCAATAAAGTTACATCTGAAGAAATAAAACAAATAAGCACAAACGCCTCAATAATAACGAACTTAAAACGAATAGGAACATTCCGTCTACATAAATAAAAGGCAACAATAGAGGGATTAACTTGTGCTGTTGTGTCATTTTGGGCTCCCGTGGAAAAATACTTCGTAGTGCGTTCATCAGGATCTTATCCAATTAAAGCTATGAAGTGAACACATAATGAAACGCCAAACACCTCTTACACACACAGGGATTAACTAAATCAACTAATCTCAGAATGATATGACAGAAATAAATGGTGAGTTTATTGAAAGTATATTTTCATTAAAAATAAACCAAGCATGTGTAAATACGCAAAAAGCTGTCACACGCAGAACTTTTATGGAATAACAGCGATGTATAAGAATGCTGAATATGCGGATTTGGCTTATTATATTAAAACAGAACCAAACCGTGAATTGCACACATTCACTGAGGTAAATATGAGCCAAATCGCGCCCCATATCAATCAACTTATTATGTGTTAAACTAGTCAGAGGTGAGTAAATTAATTCATTCTCCTTACAAAGTGAATACGATATGATGGATCATCTACCAAACCACTATATTTATTAAAATTAACCCCACGCGACAATGTCATACAAAGAAACAGGACATTCGTAGGCAAACACGTCTTATCTGGGAAGAATAATAAATGAGCTGATGACATATCTTGAGGACGTTCATCAAAATTTAAGCAAACAGTTGCATACTCGCTTGATATATAATTATGTGGCGATTTGTAAATATCCTTGAACTATTATACCGTGGCAATTTCGTTAATTATATATATATATATATAAATTTCGAGGCTCTTGATGAGATGGCATTCAAAATAATAAAAAAGTATTGCGATGGGATATGTTAATCTCCATATAACTATATCTTGTAATTGTAATATGATCAACTTTCAAGGTAATGTTATTTTAATATAATTGTAAACCGCTTGGCTTTTCTGTAGTAAATATCATAACAATCAAACGTGACATTCATGTATTCTTAAAGCCCAGTCCAATGTTATTTATTGTTGATTGGCACGCTAATCGTTTTGATTTCCTCTGGCAGTGTGTACACGACCCCTTGCAAAGCAACGAGAAGTGGTCTCAATTAAGTGAATGTTGATCAATCTCGAACGAGTAGACAATAATCGAATGAATTGATGGAATGATAAGTATTTTACGATATTGCCAGTCGAAAATAATTATTGTCCACCGCGGCATAAGAATGCCCCGCTCTTCATTGACGACTATGTACGAACAATCGATTCTTTATTAACTCGGGTTGCTCTGCAAATCTTGCCACTTACTCCTAGAAGTGCGTGACGAAAGATATTTATAAAATAACCAATCCCAAACGACGATTAAGCGTGGGAACAAAGTAACATAATGATATATTAGGACGAACTACAAACAAAACAAGACGCAATTCACATTATTGAAAGTACGCAACCGCCCAATCTTGTATACCTTTTGTTCATTAATAATAGGCGGAACAAAAACATAGGTCGGCGTTAGTTGAACCGAGGAGCACAAGCTCCATTACAAAGACCTGACATATTGTGGAAATATGGGCTCACCTGTCGGCGACCGCCCAAACTAGACAACCCATTGATACAGGATGTGTTAACAGAAAATTGGAGGACAAGGAACAAACTTGGAAGGCATAGGTACTTGAATATAATTAGCTTGGTTTGCAATAAAAATATCAGAATAAACTCTATCACAACCGGTGATAGAAGGATTAGTAATATAATCATGATCATGTGAACGATCAGTCAGCAGTTGATATGAAATTTGTGGAAGATAATCTTTTAAATGAACAAGAAAATAGGTGAATATAGCATAATTGATTTTTATGGATATAATTGCCAGTTGTCCAAGCAACGGCCTCCATGAAAGATCCATAATGAATAGTTTGGGTTTGGCTTGAGTTTAATAAGTCTGCATAGCAATGCACACTTGCTGAAAATGTGGAATATGCTTAGTTTACAGTGGAAGCTGAAGTTAGTGCTAAAACATTGTCACTTCTAGTGTAAATGACCTTATAATCGCACTTGATCAATAGTGCAGTGCAATAAATAAAACTGTCATATTTTTGACAATTTACCAAGTTGATGTATAAACATACACTGATATGGTGGCAAGAGTTCCACAATGTATCCTAAGAAACTTAGTACATTATACATACTTTCATTTTGATCCCAGTATGTCACAAATTTCCTAGTTTTTATATACCTCCTGAAATTTCTTAACACAAGATTCAGTTAATGAATAGTAAAGTTTATAAAAATTCAAAATCTTTATAGATCTGAGGAATGGTTCAAAGTTAACTTTTTTTTTAATATTCAATTGCTTTTAAATATGTGTATGAGGAACAATCAAATGATATGAGAGCATCATCTATATTCACCTTTATAACATGAACGGTACTAAATTGTCAACTGTCAAGTCATAAATGTATGACCTTCAATAGATTGGATGTTAATAGTTTTATTGTTTCCCTATAAAATGTTTAGATCGTTTGGTGAGATAATGTGCTCTGAAATTATGCTCTGCATAAGCAGGAAAAAAGAGAAACACAAGGCGGTACTAAATTTAGAAAGACCAGAATTTTACTGATTTAGTTCAGCATGTTGCAGACAATTTCTTGCAGACAATTGTCATAGGTGGGCTTGGGCCTGCGCCAGTGAATCATCATCCAACCTAGGTAGTAAGTATACTAAGAAGCACTCCAGAAGTATGTGTACCAATATGGTCCTATGGGCATGGGGTATATTCACTTGGCTAATCAGTCCCCGAACTTGTAATAGAACTAAAATAAGGAAAATTGGAATGAAATTATGGCCTAACCCTAACCTGGTACACATACTGCAGGAGTACCCACTAAAAGAATACCTTGTTGCAAGGAAACTCAGTAAGAAACAAATATGCACAAAACTTCAAATAAAACATTTGGAACGAATTTGCATATTATATTTGCATACTTACATATTATGACAATAAATTCCGGGATGTGCCTAGCAATCTACTCCATTCCACCCAAGTTTAAAATTTTAATAATGTTCCATTACTCTAACAATAACTTTAATAATGTTTGCTAATAAAGGCCCTGAAGGCTAATAAAGGTTAACTATACCTGGGATATGTTATCATTTTACCACCTGTAAGATGTATAAATATCTTGGGTATACTATTATTTTTACCACGATAACAAACATTAGCAGATGAGACAAATCTAAATTCAATTCATAGGAAATGTAAGCAAAAATTGGAAACCACTGTAGTTGCACCATCATACAATGTTTGAAACAAGCCAAATGGAATGATAAAATGTAAAAAACAATGCAAGTCAATTGGAAAGTATATTCAAAATACAGGTGCCATTGGAATATATAAATTACAAAGAATTACAAATAAATTACATTATATTAATACTGCTAATAGATATCTTCCACCTGAAAGCATAATGCGCCATCTGAATCCTTCATGTCTGATACGGATTTATGCATTGTGAATACTAATTTAAGATTATGTTCAAGATCACTTTCTTCACTTATTTTACAAATATTTTAGAAGTCTCTGGACATTTTTTGGCAACGTGCAATACATATAATCACTAATTAGATATACGGCACTCCCTTCTATGCAAATTATTGATAGCAAAGACTTCAGAAGTTTCAAAACTCATTTCAAACAATATTTATTGGGATTCTAATGCCCTATTGCTTAATATTGGTGATTCATTAATGTCTTTAATTCAGATTAGAAATGCAATGGCCAATATTTAGCCAACCTCCTCAAAACAGGGCTTAACACCTAAAAAACAGATACATAAGACATTAAAACAATAGCAAACAATGCATTTTAAGTTTGACAACAGACAAGTCAGTACAATATACAATTAAGTTATACTAGCCATACTAGATGTGACTTGAAACTACCCAGTTGTTACATGAGCCAGCAATTGTTTCTATTATAGTCAGAAAAATTAGTTTTAGCAGATGGGTGAAAGCTCTGATCAGTATAACTTCAAAGAAACAAACCTTATCAAATTTTGCTATAATCACGCGATGGGGAAGCATATACCAGTAAATATCAGTATCTGTTGTCTGTCACAGATATAGCTGTGTGCAAGGCTATGCACTTTAGTCTCAAGTCATGTTGCTGCTGCAACGAGTCAAGTACAGATCTTGATAGAAAAAAGTTGAATGAATACAAAAATAGATTGAATAGATCGGGTGTACCAAACCAATAAACCAAAGTTAACTTCAAAAACAAACTGCGATTTCGGTAAATGTCTCTGAGATATGAAATGTGTAAATGGTAAAGGTAAATTCAGTAATTATAGGGTCGTCAAGGAGATTCCAATTACAGAATTAGGAAATGTCTATTACCGGTACTGTACCATAAACTTCTTGGACCACCAAGTGGCATAGAGAAATAAGATGGTTTGAGTTTAGAGTTTAAACTTCAGTTGCCTTGCAGCCTTGGGTGTTGTTTAAGTTTACAAATACAAATTATCTGGTACTGAAATAATCAAGTACAAGAATATAGCTGGACTCGTCACGGTGTAACAACGAATCCACTGGCTTACGGCTTCCTTCACTAACAAGTCTACCGGTTTGCATTTAAAACAAATACCAGTACGGTACGTAACTCGTTCCAGGGGTACTATTCCCATACTGCATAGGTCAGTAGACAGTAGGTACAGTACCTGACACTGGGGTCTCCTGAAGTACAGAAGTACGCACCCTCAAGTACTCCTAGTGGGCGTAGCATACCGATTTTATTATTACAATATTCCCAACTACCACTTGGGTACGTCACCCAAAAATTACATCATTACCACGTCATTATCGCAAGAACTTGCTAAAGTATAGGTACGATTGTCCAAAATGGCATCTGTTCCAACTATAATGAACTCACTAACGA